AAACAGCTCCAAACATTCTCTTTCAAATTTCTCTTTGTATGTATCAAAGGGCAGTAAAAAACATAATTGCCGCTACTCTCATTTCCTGCAATTTTAATACATTTTACGAGCTAGAATTTACTACTATACTAGCATGTTCTAGCTCGTTGACATTTTCGAAAATTGTACAAGTTAACATTTCAAAATTACTAAGTTGAAGATAGATCGTTGATTTCAACAAATTTCATTGTGAAAAATCAGATCTTTAGTAAGAGTCATTATCAATTTTCTGAAAAAACTCAATGTGTACTTTCTGCTTACAATTAATTAAATTTATAAAAGATGCATCTCAAAATATGCTCCAAAACTTGTCACAAATTTAGAATTAATGCAAGAACATATGTGCTGTGCCAGCACCTCTAATTCATCTAATTAATGGTTCATTAAATATTGGTTCTTTCATTATAGTTTGTTGCTTTCCATTTCTTCATAGAATATCTGCCTTTTCAGGCTCTTTAATATAGAGCTAATACAAAATTAAAATGCAAAAGTATGCAATTCGCCCAATAAAAACCCTTTAATTTTCATTGTAATGCTAAGAATAATATTTATATTAAGAAGCAATGTAGATTTTCATGGTTCTGCATGTGTGGCTGAAATGTTTGGAAATTTATTTTTTATTAAATCACTTTCCAACAGTTGGGAAAAACCCTAAATTTTATAGGCATTAGAATGCTGAATGAATGATTAACATAAAAGTGAAAAAATAGCATAAAAATACCTCCCCTAAGGATCTCAACATGGTCAACCAGTTACATTTCATAATTTATGCAAGTTTTTGAACCCTGTTAACGATCTCCTTTGTTATTCCCTGATGTACAATTTTAAATTGAGATCAAATATTCTTCTTTTAACACGAGTGTTAAGGGAGAAGTAATGACCACAGACCAAGGTTTCTGTCTTTCAATTTCTACTGGCAATAAAAATCTTCAACAACAGAAAAGTTAATATATATTTCACAAACTTACAGCATTTCTCAAACCCAATTTCTACAAGGTACACTACAAATTATTATAGTATTTCCTTGAGAATTTCAATTTAAATCTGTTTCTTCAATACAAAATAGTGACAAAATTGTACAAAAGGAATACTACTATCTACATGTCACATATAATACAACAGCATTAGAAAGGTATTCTGGTATCTTACACGCATTTTCTTCATTATTACTGTTCTTTCAAAATAGTATTATTCTATTACTATATTTATTTGGAGTAAACAATGATTGGCAATTAAGGTGTTATTCCAGTGAAATCCACATAAACCAAAAATATTAAATTTATGTAGAGACAACCACTCTTTTCCAATTTTATAATTTTCAAAAATATTTTGAGGTCTTGGTTGTGAGTTATTTAAGCAGTGGAACACAGTACAATTTGTAAATTACTGACATAATGTTCACTTCCAGAATGGCCCCTAACTTTCAACTGTGCAATTGAAAAATCATAGTTTTAAAAATTACAGTACAGCCAATGAAAATATTTAATTTACATACATATGTGACAGAACTGTTTCTTCATAAACAGCAAGAAAGTGAATCTGAAAATGTTCTCATAGTATATTAAGGTGGATTTCACTGAACATTATTTATATAGTATACTAAAGTAACACATATACAGATTTGAATGTTTTATTGATGTTATATAGAAATATAAGTCAATCTTTGACTTTTGATGTTTTATACTGTAGAATATCATGATTTTGCTTTTGTTTTCCTATGTACCTAAACATCAGAATAACAACAAACACTATATTTGAAGAAAATTTGAACAGATGTTCTGTAAGAAGGTACTTGTGCCAGGAAATCTGAGGCCTGAAAACATTGAAGGAACACCGATATATTGTACTTATTTACATTTATTATCAATTATACAATTAATCTGTAATTAATCTTATTTCTTTCAATTGTTGAAAAATCATCGGTATTATTGTGAATTTGTCATGTGTATACAAATGTTAAACTGGTTAATTCAGAAGAAACATTGACTTTAATGAAAAAATATTTATGTCAAACTTTAAAATCTTGAACTTGAGATGAGATCCATAAAAACTAGGAAATATTAAGGGCAAAATCAATGTTTGCGTCTTTTGTTATTTTTTCTTCTCCTGGATCTTTTCCACTTACAAAGCAACAATTAATTGCATGTTAAATTATAAAAAATATTGTTCATTAACAACATTCAAACAAATAATTCAAATTAAAATAATTTTCAATCAAGATGCACAAAAATTCATTATGGATCAATTAGATATTTTGAACAATTAACTCAGAAAAACAATAAAAGCAGAAAAACAAACAATAACAAATCAGTTATTCATTTACTCCTCATTATACTCTTTAAATTTGACTTGTACTTTATTGCTTTTCAAACATGCACAAAATGTTAATTTTTTAAAAATTCAACTGATATATTTTATCCTTTTGTAAATAAAATAGTTGCAACCTATGACCATATGTTTCATTAAAGAACTTCATCACTAGTTCAGCACCATTTGTGAGGCCATATATCTCTTTCAATTTTATAAGTTTTAAAATGTCACTCTCACATATATACAATGACTGGAATGTTCAGTATTATATTTCTAATTATAATTAGAATTAACATGTAAAATTACTGAAGTCTGTTTTCAGTTTTATAGTTGGGGGTTGGAAAGTATGCAATTTTGTAGTGTTAGAAGAATAAGACTCTTTCTTTTCAGCCTGTTGTTGATTGGCTCTAATTGCTGCTTCCAACTTAGTCCGCAACTCACTTGATCGAGACATCAAAGTCTTGAATTCCTACAAAACAGGCAAGCTCATTATTTTTATTGCAGTCAAAATATGTAATTATCATTTTACATTATTAAAAAGTTTCAACATTTTATATTAAACATATAAAGTGTAGAAATACAAGGTAAAAGAATACAATATATCTCTATATAATATCTCTAAATTAAGCTTAATGGAGAGCTTTGGTTAAACAAAAAGGGAGAAAGTCATCAAAATCAAGAGAGAAAAGTATTTAAAGTTAAATACCTGAGGATACAATGGTCCTATTCGCATAAGTTTCTGAAGACACTGCTCATGAAGTTGACGAACAAGTTGTTTAGAATTTCTTATTTCAGTATCCATTAAAAGGTAATTAACCAGGATTGGCACCAACAAATTAAGAACCTGTACTCCTAAAAAACGTTTCATGAAGTTCCAGTTAGCATTACACTTTATTATTACACTCCATTAGCTTTATCGTCCTGCACAACACTTTACTTTTGTAAGTGATATACTCTAATTAATTTTTATATATGTTAATGAACTCTTTATTAATTTACATTACATGTAGTCTTTAAAATTTTTTGATGGAAAAGAGAAAAACAAGAAATAATATCTTTAAGGCAATGAAAAATAAAAGACTCACAGCTCTTAATAAAAATAATTGCATATGGTCAGATTTTTTCTCCAACACAGAAAATACTCTTTTAATAATATTAAAAATAATATAAAAGTATTCAATTCATCATCAAATGTATCAATTCATCAAAAAGTGTCATTTATAGAACATGATAAATCTTTATTTTTCTATTGTACATATAGTAAAACGTGTCTAAGCTGGAATCATTTGGGTCCAACATTTTGTTCCATCTTGTTCAAGTTTCCGACTTATTCAGGTTTGCAATAAGACTATCAAAAAAACACGAAACGCAATTTTTCAAAGATTAACAGATTGTGTAAGTATGTAGTTTATGTCACCTCAAAACTACAATTCAAAGAAACCCCGAGAGAACAAATAAAAAGGCATTCAGAAGCACAAAATGAAGACTAGTAAAACGCAGAACTCCATAAAAAGTAAAAGAACCCAAAGCATGCAATACAAGAACAGTGGAAGGATTACTTTTCACATCTTTCCTTCCTCCACAGGGCTTGTAAAGGGCAGAGGTATTACCCCTTTATTATAAACAGTGACGTTTGCACAGGTAGGATGGGAAATACCATGTTCATATGAGGTTAGCTGAGAAAGCAAATGGACAAGCAAAGCTGAGTCTCTTTGCAAGATGTTATGACACTTACAAGTCAATGTTTAATTTTAAAATAATATTTGTTTTCCGTCTTATCCAGAATTTGAATACCGTAGTACAAAACATTCCTTTCAATTTCCATTTTAGGCAGGATTCCAGCTTATCCAATGTATTTGCATAGGAAAATAGTCCTTTCTGAGGTTGTTTTCCGGAAAAGGCATGTTTCCCCCTTAGACAGGTTTTACTGTATATTGTCATATGCCCCATATGATATGTAATGACCTTTGGATAAATAAATAATCTGAATCTAAACGTACTACAAACAATGAATTTTTAATGAGAACATGAGCAACATGTTAGTATTGAGGCAAATTTATAATTTATCACAATTTAATTCATAAGCTCCTAAAGCGATAGCAGTATGCTTTATTTTTAACCCTCATTTAACTATGAGTTTGTATTCCTTAAGGCAGATACTTACTATGTTTGCTTTCAGCGATTAATACTAGACTTTCCATGCACTGAATGCTTTCCAATATTAAGAGCAATTCAGACTCAGATGACACTTCTTTATTGCACATTGTGCACAAAAAGTGCAGCAAATGAGGAGCTAATGCTTGTATGTACGGTACTGCTACACATCTATCCGAGTGAGTGAAGATAGCACGCAATGTCTGCACACACTTCAACCTTACCTAAAATATACAAAATAAAACCTATTATTTCATGAATAGGTTTAACAACTATAATTAACAACGTAAATTTATAAAAATTCACTCAAGACACACATAAGTGAAAGAATTTACTTCATGAAAGATCATGAAATTCTAAAAAATTAAAGAAATTATTTACAAACAATGTTTGCGAATCTGACAGTGATGAACTTCTGAATTATCAAATAGACATTATTTAACAGGGACACTATATAATACCTAAAACACAATTATTTTCAGGCAAATTTGTCCCTAAAAAAATTATACATACCATCTACCAAGATACAACTTGATAGCACAACCATGTATATTCACTATTTTTTATCATGATTAATTTGTTTGTAGTTTTGCAACATAAACATTAGTCTTCTTGCTGACAATGTTAAAATCCAGATTGAAAGAAAATGAAAAAAGACAACAGTGTTTGAGAAGTGGAAATGTGTTTACAGTGACCTTAAAGTAGTGTCATTTTATCAGGCGAATGCATTTGTTCGACTTGGTTGAAAAAATACTTCAGTGTGCTTTATTTTTCTTTTTATGGAAATAAATGAAAAAGACAGTGAAGATCTTTAGAAAATAAATATAACAACAACTCTATTTTTTTTTTTTTTATGTTTACTTGACAGCACGAATGCAAAGAATGTAATGTGTCTGAATGGGTGTCTTCAAAGTTTCTTTGTTCACACCTCCTGCTCAAAATGCTTGCTTGTTAATGATCAGGGTAAGTACTTTATATTGTCCTGGAAGTGCCCTGGCCTAGGTGCTATTGCTTACAAGTTAAAATTTAGTGAAAATTACAAATGTATTGCAGGCTGTGCATTTTTAACAAAAGGTTTAGTGTATCACTGACAAAACGCTGCATCAAATCTTGTTGAAATAATTACATGTAAGCTGTACATATCATAACAAAGGAATAAATATCATCTGTGAACTGCATCTTTCTTTGGTATCAATCTTTAAAGCAACCTCTTTTTTGTATATTGTTGCTTAAACTTATTTACCGATATGTTAATCCCCACCCTTTCCCTTTCAGTATCCTTTCCATTAAGAAGGAAAGTTGTTAATGAAACATATTTATTTGTTAAAAATGTATAAATGTAACTTTGTACTTGCAGAATATCAAACAAAAATTAAAACAATGCAATTGATGTTGGAAACAAATTTTCAATAAAGGTTTATTCACATACGTTCTTCTAACAATTCACACTTCCTTAAAAACAAGATTTGAAGGAATTATTCAATCTTCCTTGGCAATCAACTTTTCACTTTCCTTTACAGTCACAAAAATATTAGAAAAGGTGTTTACTCTTGAGAAAGCTAAGTAAACTTTTCCATGCAAAAATACAGGATTGGGCAAGTACAACCTTACTCTGCAATATTATTTTACTTTCTTGGATTTGTTTTGAGGAACAGAAAGGGTTTTGGAGGGGCAGGGCACCACCTTGCTGGGGTGCAAATGTTGAAAAATTATTTGTATACTAAGAAGTATTGGATTATTTTTTGCATTCTTATGTACCTCCAGAAAAGCAATTCCAAGACAAAAAATAATAAAACTAATCTTTTTACCTTTGAGTAATAAATACGATTTGTTACCATTAGAAACAATTCACTATGCTTAGACTTCATTTTGGTACATGGGAATGTTGCTGAAATGATGTTTATATATTGAATATCTTAGCGAACCGACATCTTAAGTTTAATATCAAGCAGTGTATTATTTATAATAAGTGTTTACAGCTAGACATTGATCTACAGACTTCCAGGTAACAACAACATTTACATCGTGTATCTGGATTGTGATTGTTGGCAGTTGTTGAGTGACACGCGCTATTTTTTCTATAATTTTAAATTTTATTTCTCTTTTACATTCATTCACATAGTATTGTAATCTAGCATGTTTTGATTTTTGTTGTTCATTTATTTCAAGCTATTTTACTTTAGTTAATTTAAAAATTTTGTTCTTTGTGTTGTGCCATAGCACAAGTTTTCCTCTGCTACACATACCCATGCGAGAACTCTCCTAACTGTACAATATCAAAAATAAAAAACAATGCAATTGATGTTGAAAATAAATTTTCAATAAAGATTTATTCAGTATTATCAAGAGATTTCTTGGAACAATTCACAACACTTCCTAAAAAATTTTGAAGTAAGTATTCAATAATCTTTCACAATTAACTTTTCACTTTTCGTGATAGAAAAATATTTAAAAAAATTTTTACTCTTGAAAATGTTACGTGACTGAACACTAACTTGAAAGTTTCACTGAATCACTGCTGATACCGAAAATACTAGTACAGGTAACATAAACCAAATCTAACAAGACACATCTTACTCTTTACTGTACACCCACATCCCTCCACAATCAAGTTCACAGCACTTGTAGAACTTGGCAAAACGTTAAATGAATGTTCACTACACGCCCAAGAAACAATCTTCATCAGAATCAAGCAACTATTAATAGAATTTCTAGTTGTTGCTAAGAGCAAATCTTGAATGAAATATACAAATAAACTTCATCAGTCTGCACAAACCATGGTGTACACGGAAAGCGTAAATAATGGACACTATCATGAAGGGTTGAAATATAGATGGCATTAATAGTATCAATAAGTGCCTTATCAGCAAAAATTTAATAAAACACCCAAGAATATCTCTTCCTGTAGATTGCAGTGCGAGGAATGTTTCTTTGAGGCCTTTGACCTCGAAATATTAGTTTGTAAGGCACTAGAACGTTTTGTTTAGGAGTTATTTAACGATATAGCTGAGTGCAGCGGGTTGCATTTGACGTAAATATTTGGATGCATTTTTTAAACAAAGCCTTCATATTTTTCAAATCTAATAGCAATTTGTCACGTCTCCATGAAATTCTTTTTCTTTAGAGACCTCATTTATGAGGATTGGTTGCCTGTGAGAGTTGCAATAGGTATGTATAGTACTAAATAATATAGGAGAGGATGAATATAAGGCCTTTTCGATTTCCCCACGACATTGCAAAAAGACAGTATCGGGGAATCGATCTCAACTAACTTGAGAGATAGAAACAGACCTAATACACAACTGGGAAATAAAATAAAGACAATGCTTTGGAATGCAGAAGGAGCAAAAAATGCACTGGCACATGTAGCAATACAATCAGACACTTTGATGTCATCATAGAAATGGAAATATTTCTGCTAAAGCCTTTGGAAATTCAAGAGAGGTACAGAATTCACTCTTATGCTACCCCAACTGAAGGACGACCAGAAGGAGGAATATCCATATTTTTTTAAGTAGAAAATAGGAAACTAATAGTCACATAAAAAGAAGAGAACATAGTAATTATCAGAACAAACAGTCTGACCATGTTAGGACTCTACATAACCCCAACGTGGACTGCTGATGATGTCATAGATATTTTAAGGGCAACATCAAAAACAACAAATGATGAGAATGTGATCATAGCTGGGGGACTTAAACCTACTTTGCTTCCAAAGGACCTACAGAGGAAAAGACGTAAAGGTAATAGAGCAAAGAAGGAAAGTGGTCATCGGCTGCCATAATAATAAAACATACTAATAGAAACAACTATCAGTATAAGCAAACTGCCACTAAAAATAAGAAAAAGGGTAATGGAAAACCCATCCAGAAAGCTGGACTCAGAGAAAATAAAAAAATGGGAGGACGATATACACAAGCCAAGACTACTAATAGGAGACAGACACATAAACGAATCAGCAACAATCGCTAACAACATCATACAAAAATCAACCGTTCCGACCAGGTCAAGAAAATCCCAATCATGATATAATAAAGAATGCTACGCACAACAGGAGGAGGCACTTCAGGCCCTACACTGAGCCAGGAGAAAAGCAAAGGAAGTTTGCATAATTATGCAGAGAAAAGGGAAGCATACAAAATATAAAAGAAAGAAGATCAGAATTTCTGGAGGAAGAAACTAGAAGAGTAGTAGAAGAAGCTAGAGCGGATCCCTTCATTGTACCAAGACAGAGGAAATACAAAGTCAAAGCCATGGAAATACCCATAACCAGCTGGGTTCACTTCACTTCAAGAAAACTCAACAAAGAAAACAAGCAAGAAGCTTATATCACATGTTCAACAGGACCAACAAATCAAGAAAACGAAAATGACTTCCCAGAAATAGCACCTGAAGAAATACAATAAGAAGAGCAGGAAACAAGAAAGCCTCAGGACCAGACAACATCTACAATGAACACATCAAAGCCACATTAGAATCCCTACTCCCACTTTGGACTGAGATTTTCAACAAATATGTAAAAGAGGGAGTAACACCAGACAGCAGGAAAACAGCAAAAATCAAAACCCTTTATAAAGGAAAAAGAGACATGGCAAATCCAATCTCTTACAGAGGCATACTGCAGGAAAACGTCCTATACAAAATATTCACATGAATCCTGACAACCAGACTCAAAAAAGAAACAGACGTCTTCATACCAGAATATCAGTTTGGCTTCAGAAAAGGTAAAAGCATGCAACAGGTAATCAAATATCTACTTGCTAAAGCAGAAATCACACTGAATAGGACAAAAGGAAAATAATATACAATATTTATAGATTGTAAAAAAGCATTTGATCTGATAAACAGACAAAATATCATCACAAAAACTGAAAACAAGATTGGGGAAAAACACCTGCTCAGTGTAATAATAAAGAGCGTATTAACATACAACCAAACTGAAACTGATGGAGAGACCATTTCAAGCATAATTCCCCAAATAAATGGATCACTGCAGGGAGACACTCTCAGCCCTCTGACGCTCAACATTGCTATATCCAGCATTTCAACCATCTTGAATGAAACAAAGAAGCTATGTATGCAGATGATATGGCCCTCGGAAGCTCAAACAAGACAGACTCACAAGTATAAATTCTTGACTATCCGGGAGATGCCATGTCGTTGGCTGAGAGGCCGACGGTTTGCCTGACAAGTCGCAGGCTTCAGGGCTCAGGGCAGTGACTCAGGAAGTCTGCGACATGTCACTGCCCTCAGGAAGCCTTCGACATGTCAGCCAAATGTTGGCCTCTCAGACAACAACGCTGCGTGTCCCAGATAGCCAAGAATTTATGGATTCGAGCCGCGGAAGCTTACGTGTGCATCAGACTCGCAAATAACTCTGTTGAAACTAGAAAAATAGGTTGATGAAAACAGCTTTCACGTCACTATGGAAAAAACAGTGCAGATGGGTTTTAGAAAAGTCGGAAGAATCTCAACAGAATATACACCATTTCTAAAAAACAGACCTCTGAAAATAGCCAAGAACTTCAAGTACTCAGGAATGACATTACAAACGACATTGACATCATTCAGCCAACATATACACGAAAAGACAGCTGCAGCCACCAAAGCTATACATAGCATCGCCAACATCAGACAACTATCATAAGCCACAGCCATGGCACTATTCGACACTCAAATCTCACCAATAATCACATAAGGGATGGATATAATATGGGAGAAACTAACAGTCAGCAACCTTAAGAACATAGAAAAAGTAAAAGCTTGCTTGGTGAAAACATCTCTAAGAATAGGAAAAGCAGTACCTGCAAGATTAGCATATGAGCTAGTGAGAGAAATTCCTACATAGAAGACCTACAAGTGACCCTACAGCTGCCATCAACAACATACTTCTAGAAGAACGAAGATAGAAAGGATGCAGATAGGGCCAGAGTTCTACAGCACTGGTGCTATGCTAGACCAGAACTGAGAAAAGACCAATCAAGACCAAAGACATGTTGTGACCTGCACTACAATACATTGCTTTCATCACAAAGTTATCAAAATAAACTTTTTTCACAAGCATAGTGAAAAGTACATCTGTGAGCTGAGCAATCACTGAGTTGAGCAATGATTGATACCATGTAGAGACGTGTTAAAAAAATGAAAAATTGTTTAGTGAATACAGTAAAGATTAAATAACAACAAATACCCACTCAGGTGAACCTTCTTTATAATGCAATGCTACCTCACACATACGGTCATTTTGACACAGTCTAACTTTGGACCAAGCAAAACTCCAAGTAGTGTGAGCAAGCCAAACTCAAAGTTCAGCAATACCTTCTACCTTCGTTGAGTAAATTTTCTACCAGAGACTAATCAAGCATCACCACAAATGTGTCAAAGCAAAATCGCAACCAAAATACAGATTTTTGTTCCTTTAAGCAGATTGAATTTTATATTGTAATAGAGAATTAATGAAGATCCTGTCAATAAATAAAAGAACACTGCATTCTAGATAAACTGAAGTGAACATAATATATGACGCATACACGATAGGAAGGTTAAACATACTTGGTAGTGAAAAGTTACAGTAAACTTACACACTATTCACAGTCCTCAACAGTCTCCTTGAAAGGACACACAAATAAGAATTGGAGATTAAAAATTACATTGAAATGTGTGCCTTGCATGCATTTTCTTCTGAACCTACTCTTAACATTCTCTTAATGAATTAGACAAACACGGGTAACACATTCAAATGAATATCATTAAAAAAAATTTACAAAATAGACTACATTTATTGTATCTAAAATATTATGTTATCTTCTACTTCTTCCTTTTTTTTTAAATTTATTTATTTATTTATTTCCTAGGTCACATTCACACATATCGTATTTTGGTATAGTAAACATACAAATAAATGGAAGACATTTTAATAACTTACCCTAATATTTCCATTCTGTAGACACTGCTGAAACTGATTCACACACAAACATTGTAGGTTTGGAGCTAGTATAACCTCTGGGGGAGAATGTAAAACGAATACAGCTACTGCCAACAGAGTCGTGGATTCATCTATTTTCATTGGACTAAAATCTGAAATTTTGGTTCAGAAATAAATTAGGGTTGTTAATTATTTTCTTAAGAATGACAATATCAACCCTGGGCATATCCAGCCCTTTCAATATAAACGTTTTGAATAACATAAACACTAAACTTAGCTGATGTTTAATTGATGATTGTTAAATTAATATTTATTTATTTCTTATTTCACTGAGTTAGATTGAAAATAATTGCTGAAAACTGTAAATCAAAGACAAAATCTAAAAAAGGAATAGCATTCATATGAAGATACTTCATTGACTATTAATATTGATTACAAAATCATTGATATCAAATAATGAACATAAGATAAAATTGATGGAAGTTTAAGTGACACTTAATTTCCTGAAAATCTTAAAAGAATAAGAATATTTAATACAAACAGACCATAAACAAGTTTTAAAACAAGATAAAATAATGTACCTACAAGGTATCCCAATGAATTTACAATTTGTACGCTAAAAATTTATACAACCCAAAATCAGTTTCATATTATAAAACTAGTGACACTTGGGAAATTAAGAAGAATCAATGATCCCTCACAGTACGGCACTCTGTCAAACAATTTACACTGTTGGATCAAATTTAGGTAGATAAGGAATTTATTCTCACCTTCTCTACTTAATTCAATAATCTTCACTAAAGCACTCTGAAGCAACTTTTTCCACTTGTCAGCTGATCGTGTATCTTTACAATATTTGTCTGTAGCCAATGATCGTAAACAGCGTAAAGCTGATGAAATGGGCTCACCATTTGCCAAAATTGTTTGATCACCGCTATTTTTTGTAGCAGATTCCTTCAAAATTCCAATTACAAGGTATAAAATGGTTGGCAATACTGCTACAGCACCTGGAAAGCAAAAACATTTCAGAGTAAATAGGGTATTTTTGTACAACATAATTGAGAACATATTCTTAATGAAACCCTCAATCATGTTATTTGAGATAATCTGAATGTATGCAGAATATTTGCAATGCCTTAAGTAAAATCTATTAATTTACTATTCTTTTTGGCTTCAATAGCATGTACACTTCACAATGAACATAGTTCTGCCCTTGGATTTGAAGTTAATTTATACTCTAAACTACATTTAGATTTATAGAATGATCCTAACATCACTTGAAGTCTTTGTGTTCACAAACAATGCATTCATTTATTAAATATATCTGTAAAGTAAATTTTAAGAATATGCGAGTAGTTTAAAAAATATTACATATGAAAAATTTAAAAAGTTCAAAAAACTTGATTGGAAATGATACTTGTTCATATATTTAACTTTATTGCGCTCTGTACAAAATTTAACAGAATCAAATTTAGTTGTTTCAGAGAAAATCATCTATAGGTATTTTTAAAAAATTGACACAATTTGATTTAAAATTATGTCAAAACCACAAATGTTTTGAAAATTCATCATCATCATCATCATTACGAACTGACCAGAAATTAAGACTTTACAGCCTGTTTCCATTGGTTTATTGCAGTCTTCCAAGTGCTCCTGCAGTTGCCACCTCTTTAGTGGTCTGCCACTATCTCTGATCCCTATTGGCTTGCACTTCCAGATTCATTTTCAAAATCTCTTGTTGTTCATTCTCTCCTTTCAGACTGCTCTCTCTTCTACTAAACATTTCGTATTCAATTTCTTTCTCATGTCTTTATTTTCAGTCTGTCTCTTCTTGTGATTCCCATGAAGTGTCTTAGGAATCGCACATGTGCAGCCTATACTTTTTGGTTGTCTCTCTTTCATTACTCGTGTTTCAGAGCCATACACGATTCTAAATACTTATACATGACTACTATGAAAATACTTGTACATGGCAAATTTCAAAATAGAAGAACTATAACAAAATAGAGAACAAAAACAGTAGTTTTTCAGCCCTCATTTCGCTAGATCCGAGAGTGGGAAGTTTGATTATTTTATTGACAGGACTATTTTATCAAATCTGTAGCTCATTTTTGATGCAAAATGGTTTCTATTACATGGAAATGAACATTTCTGGTTATCAGATTTTGACAATACTTATTCTGAATTCAAGGGATGCACAACATTGCTAGCATATGGAAAAAATTAGAAAAAAATTACCAATCTAAAGGTCCAACATGAGCCAAATTAACTATTTTCTAAGCGAAATCAAGATGGTGACAATGCATAAGAGTTCACTCGTTGTTTGAGAATTCTTTGATGTAGTAGACAAACTATCAGTAACAGAAGTCAACATCTGCAAAGACTTGCTGATTTGAATCTTTCTACCACAATTTTCAGTGTACAATCGCAATCCATAACAATTTGTCTACCCCAGATGTCCTGATAATCAAAATCAGTGAAGAATTTGATTCACAGAAAGACGTTAGGAGAAGTACAAATCAAAGCGCAAAAGTTGTCTGAAGTCCAAGAGGAGCAAACAAAATAGTTGAGTGTATAGAGAGAAGTCGGACAGAAACTCTAGGATGAAGTGCTCTGGACACTCAGAAATCAGGCACAGTGTGAAACATGCCCATGAAGGTATGAAGATGCAACAGTCCACGAGTGGTGCCGAAGATATTAACTTTATATACCTTGTCAGACATCCTGTTTTCAAGTTGTCAGACTGGTCCTAGAATCAACAATGTGAAAAAAATTCTGAAAACAATTTAGGCACTAGGGTTGTTTCTCAGACAAACTGGTAGGCTGGCCAGGTAGACAGACAGGCCTGGTTCTGTCTGATTAGCCTAAGGTTTTTAAAACTACTCTTTTGGTATCATGGACTTCAAAGACTTGTATTTATGTATCTTGAGATGGATGTTTTGAAGCATTTTGTAGTATTTTCTTATTTAAATACTACATACATGAGAAAATGTAAATTAACATTTTTTTAAGTATATAAGACAATTTGTTATAGTAGTAGTATTTCTAATAATACAGGTAACTGATCAAACCTTTGGGTGAGCACAGATGTGTCAGACCTTCCAAGATAGAAAGGGCTACTGAGATGAGTTTATTACTCTCTTCTGATAGTCTCTGTGCACTTAATTGAGAAGACATTGAAGAAAGAGAAGAACTTGATGGATTTAAGTTGGACATTTTTTTCACAATGAGGCATAAACAAACTTCTAAAGCAGCAAACACTAATGAACTTCCTGGAACAATATCGCCTGATTCACCACCTTCCCCAATTAATTCTGATTCTTGGGAAGACTGTATGTCTTTGTTTTCGGGTGAAGTATCTGGAACAAAGAACAAAAATAATATTAAAGAAATTATTGCAGAATAATGTTAAGGTATGGTCTTCGTCGATGACCACTGCTAGAACCACACGAAAATGGTAGAATAATAAAATAAATGGTAAAATAATGTTGATATAACATATCAAATTTAAATATCTACAATCAAAGAACACTGCATTCCAAAAGAAATCTCCGCCTTTAATATTGAAGGGGCAGGCCACCTTTGAACAGAAGTTAAACTTTCATGATTTTTGAAATTTCAGATTTTTGAATGGAAATCATTATTTTCCCATAATGCTAAGTGAACAGTCCTCTGATAATACAAATAATCTAAAGGAAACGGTACATGCAAATAGCCTAGACAAAACAACTAGATCTATTTTTTGACAAACATTTTGAAAATGTTCTCTGGGTTTTCTAAGAAATACTCCCAAAATTAGAAGATCCACACTAAATTCACCAGTCCTTGAGTTTGGTCAGACTGAGGGAATATCATGTGAACAGACTACAGAGTTGTTTACAGAAAGATGGATGGATAGGCGAATAGACATTTTGCAGAAGTAATGGGGGGGACCTCATTTTATTGATATCAGGGTCTTCAAGATGTTACATAACTTTCTCTCTACATTTGTACACGAGATAGAAGAATATAAAGTTAATAATGAAAAACAAGAAAGTTATAATTTTTTTAAATTCAAAATTATTTGATGATTATATTTCATCAGATATTAATTTTTAAAAACAAGCTCATTGTGTTAATTTTCATACCTTTTAGACTCTTCTTTCGAGAATCAATATGCTCTTGAGCAGCCAAAATTACTTGCTTTAAAACCAATAACACTAACAGTTGTATTTTGGGACTTTCATGCGTCAGCAGAAGCCTGAAAATGGGATATATTAAATTTTTAATCACATTTTATAATGTCATGTAAAATGACAAAAAAAGACCTAAACGAAAATCAGTTTTACAGATCATACTGATTTTTATTAAAGTGATAATAATAATAATAATAATAATAATAATAATAATAATAATAATAACAACAACAACAACAACATACAACACAATCAAAAAACAAACAACATAGCATCTAATACTTTAAAAAAAAATTGTATAGCAGACACTTGTATAACATGATTATTTCTGAAGTTTTAATAATCCCAATTTCAGCAAGCTTTAAATAACATACTTAATAACACAGTTGTTTTGACTTGCAGAAAGAGAAAAAAAAGAAAAAAGAAAAGAAAAGAAAAAAGAAAAAGAGAAAAAGAAAAGAAAAAAAGAGAAACCGAATACCCATTGTATCAAATGAAATGTAACGTGAAAGTGAATACCTAGAGTTTGTTACACGATGCGGGTACGACAAGGTCATACGCAATTTCGGTTTGACGTCCGGCGAATACCAATCTGCGTTTTGAACAGAAACAGAGGCCTTCAACAAATGTGGGTTGGATAGAAAATCTGGCGACAGAAGGAAATGTTCGTTGATAGCGTATGAACAACGCAAAATTTAGTCAGCAAAAATTTCAAGAGGGGCTTAAATCACAGAAAATATCAGAGCATGGAAGGAGAACCAAAAAGAAAGAAACTGATACTTGTGAAGATGATGAGTGTAAAGACAAAAAACATGATTACGATGATATTAAGGAACAAGAAAATAATAGTTCGACAATAACTCTTAACATTCTCATCAATAGGCAATAAGACGTTTTGTAATTTTATTGTGACTAAATAATAAGAATTAGTTCAAAATTTTAAAAATTCTCAGAAAACTTCTTCAAAATTAGGGGTTTGTCTTATATTTGGGTAAATACAGTATATAATTTTTTTTTTTTTTTTGTACAACTTTCATTCTTACAGATGAAATATTGCTCACATCTAGTAACCCATACAAGAGTTTCTACTTCTTCAACATTACTAACAATATCAGACCTCAGTGCAATCTTTGACCTCTTACAAATAATTTTGATTGCTGCATCAAGTTCACAATTACCAACTATTATTTGTTGCCAAATGGAAATGAAAAAAGCAATAGCCAAGAATGATATTCTAAAGCGAAATAAAAATGTAATAATTATTGGCCACAAAAACATTGCATTCAGAAGAGAAACTATCACAAAGAGCAGACATTAAAATCTTTATTTTGTCATACACAACAGTAACAATAGCTCATAGCGATTGCTCCATAATGTTACAGCTGAAATCCAAAATATGGCTATTTCTTGAGTTATTCAGTTAATTCACATAGCCAGACAGTCTGGACAAAGCTGTATGAATGAAGGTGAACAGATTATGAAGAAAGGAAATAGAAGGTTAATGTTTTGAAAGAAAGCTTTGAACCATTTGAACCATAATTGTGTTATGACTTTGAAGGAACACTTAAAAGAGAAAATTAAAACTCTGTAAAATAAATTACTGAATTCCTTCTCATTGATCTTGAGTTTCTGAACATTTACAAAGCTTACCTGTGCAAAACGTTACACAGCTCAATTGCAAGAGACTTCTCAGTCATGAGAGTCTGTCGAGGCCACTTTGAATCAAGCAATGCGTGTAAAGCTTGCAAACATGTATAAATACTTTCCAAAGGTTCAGAGGAGCGAGGATTGCACAGTGCTTCAATGCAAATACCTGCAATGAACAAAAAAAGTATGATTGTGTGATAGCAACTATAAAAAGTGCCTCATACATTTAAAAACGACCCCTACTTAAAATACATCTGATTAGTTTATTAAAGCCACTAAGGAACAACTGGCCTAGAATGAGGGAAACAAAACTTCAATTAACAAAGAAAATTATTAGAATTTTTAAAAATATTTTTCAGCAAAAAGAAAATGTAAGTACTTTACATTTTCTAAATTATGTTATTAAATTATCTAATATTATTAAGTTAATTATTAAGTTTAGTTAATTTAAATTAAATTATACGTACACAGTAAAATTACTGAATGCATATAAGAAATAATATTAAAAATATGTACATACATTGTAATAATTAATTTGATTACAATTAGAAGGTGCATTTATTTTTAAGAACTGAATGAAATAAGGGCCTATATTTATAATAGACGGTTGGATCAATTTTTATGTTTGTAAATTTTAGAACCTTGAAATCATTTGTGTCTGGGAAACCTATCCATTTAGCATTTTTCATTACTGAAACATACATTTTTCATACTTTTTGAATCCAGACAGTATGATTCTCTATATTAATTTTTTTTAATGCAGAAGAAATAAACTTGGAAAAAATTGTTTTAGGGAAATATCATTTTCCTTACCAAAAAGCAAGTGGAAGCGATCGATATTGGATCCTCCGTTTGCGCTCGCTTTGGAAGGGTGAGGAGGAGCACTGGGAGCAGTGGCGACTTCTGATTTATTGTGGAAACCTTCAGCGTTTAACCAAAGGGCCACAGCGTGCAAAATCGGTGGCCATGAAGCAGCATAGTGAGGACGAGAAGATTCCATTGTGTCTGTGGTATAAAAAGCTCCTCCATCATGTGGCAGCTGACTAGCAAATTCTGAAAAGATTGCAGAATTTATTAATTTCTTTATTTGATAATGCTAGGAACAAAACAAATGATCACTAGGTATTGTGAAGAGATTGAGATGATGATGTGGTTAAAGGCTGTACCTGAGAGGGTGAGCTTCTCTTTTAATGAGAGGATTTGGGAAACAACCAAGGGGTTGCCTTGGTCTTGTCAATTCCTGAATCACTTATCCTCAACCTACTTATTACAACAACGTTAATGTACAATGGCATTCAACTAAATGGGCTAAAGGCCCTTAAGAAATGAACAGAAGAAGAAGAAATTGTATTTTCCACTGTACCAGATAGTACGCCATAGAATATATTGAGTAATTCAAGGTCCTGTTTAGCTTCAGTGATGATACTCAAAACAAAAGAGCATTCCCAGAGCAGTTAATATGAGCACAGGTTACATGTCAGCCAAGTGCCAATGTGCATCAGGGCTCTCGCCCTGATTCCGGGATCTGTGTACTGCAGTCGCCCAGAGTTGGCCTGACTGCAGCCCTTCCTGTTGTTCGCTCTGTAACTGTGAACCTCATCCTGCAGGTGCAGATTTGGGCACTGACATTGTGCACTTTGTAGCATGTGTACCTTGCATGACCTTGAATAAAATAAGGTTATAAACCTTATTGAACCCCATGACAATGAAGTGAATACATGATAACATTAAAAAATAGCAGCTGATACTATACAGAGTAATTTATTAAGTGTCTGATTCAGAAATTGCCGGATCATGTGAAGTAATTTATTAAGTTGTTTGCTGCATTGTTATTAGTGATTATTATTGGTTTCTTATAGTTAGTTTGTCTGATGTTATGGTTAGTTGTATTTTTTGTGTATGGCATTTTCTACAACTCTACCGCCCATCTGTTTGTTTTATTGTCTGCCATTGTCTTACTTATTTAATTAATTAATTGTCTTTTAATTTTATGGTCCAATCTCTAATGCGTTAATTGTATTAAATTTGTTTTCTCCTATTGAGAATTATTTAGCAGTTGTTTTGTGTATTTGGAATTTTATTCTTCCCGATTTTTATCATGAATAGAAAACTTGATTAGAGTTGTGTTAGCGTTAATTTTGATGGTTTGTTGTTCTAATATTTTTGTGTAGTTTTAGCGGCACTATATTTGTTTGTTGGCATTTATTAGTTTATTTTGATCTATGTTCGTCAATCTTCCTTTTTGTTCCCGTCACCGTTATTTGTTTTGGAGCCATGAAACTGTTCTTGCTCGCCGATTTCATAGCTAGGCGGGGGAGGGGTGAATGTAATGGGACAGTCACGCGCATCAGGTTGCGACACGTATTTCAATATTTTATTCAATATAACGTTGCTGAAAAGAGACTTGGAAATGTGCGTTTTTTGCTATCTGCATGCAAGTTAGAAGTGTCGGAGATGCGGAGGCAGGCAGCTCTATTGTCTCAACAGGGGCGCCCCGTGAGCCGCATCCGCTGACTCACCGGGAAATACAGAAGCCGCTGGATTCTTAGATACTTGTTCAATTGCCCTAATTTTAACACTTCTCATTTATTTTTCTAGATATGCCATTGACTTATTTTATATATCATGAATTGTTTATTATATTATTAAGTATTATTTACATCAGTTCTTGTTAAAAATTTCCATCCCTTGTCAGCCCTCTTCAGTTTTTGCTGAACACATTTTCAAAACAAAGTATTTGACCTAAAGAAAAAGAAAAAAAAAGGGAAAAAAAACTATACCTGGAGGTAATGACAAAAGTGCATAATCACGTAGAGCAGCAAACCAATTCTGAGAGAGATTATGTAGTTCAGGTTGCACTAGTTTCAATAAACTTTCTCCCTGACATTCAAATTCGCCAAATTCTTCGTCTTTGGCATCACTATTAGATGCATTGTCAGGTAGAGATCCAAAACTTGTATCCATGCTCCTCAATAAAAAGCTACTATTTTTCATTGCAACAATGTATACCTGCCACAAGAAATATTATTACATATTGGAAGTGTTATATAGAAATTTCATAACAGTTTTTTAGACTAATTCATTTGATTCTTGAAAGAATTAAGGAATTATTTTATTCTTATAATGGTTAACAATTACCTCAGCCCAAGCCTTTAGGATGGCTAAACGTTCAAGAGTGGCAAGGCTCTCATTATAAAGTCCAGCTGTATTTGCACCTTTATGCAATTTGGTCAGTGAGGATACTAGTAATTGATGAACACGGCGGAGATCATTCAAATCACGAGCAACCCCACTACCAATCCATGCACTACACACTTGACAGGCAGCAGCAGTCACATGAGATGGAGTTTCAGGTGAAAAGGCCGGTCGCAATGCTGCACCAACCTGTCAAAAATAAAATGGAACTTATTAGGATCAACTTAAGCAAACTGATACAAGTAATAAAAAGTGAATTTTCAAAATTGCGCAAATTTCTGTCATTAACAAATGTTAATCATTCAATGACAATTTATTGAAAATGAATTTATTCACTCATTAAGAATAATTCAAAAGTTATATTCTCAAGCAAAAATAAACAATTTAAACTAAAAGATGATAACTAAAAATTGGAAAACAAAGAAAGAGCAGAAGAAAAGTGATAAAAATGTTCCAAATCAGGGACAGTAAATTAAAAGTGTAATAATATAGAGGGAAAAGAAAAAACAGTACTACCAACCTGAGCTTGAAATTGTTCCAAAAGAAGATGTCCTGGAAACTCTGGTTCTGGTACATGTGCAAACTTCTCAATGATTTCCTGCAAAGTTTTCAAACCTTCTAAACGAAGAGGGTCAGAATCACTAGTTGCAGCTATGAATGACATCCTGATAAGATCAGACAAATGTAGAACCAGGTAATCCCCTGAAAAATAACTTCTCTTTAAAAAGCACTAACAGAAAGTATTAAAAACATAAACAAAAAAACCAACAACAATTAGAAACACAAAACACTTTAAAGAGAACCCAAGAAATAACTTGTAAAGCAAGTAATGTCTCGTTAATTTATTCTATTGTTACAGAACCTTTTTGAAAATTATCAGCCTGGAAACGAATGATCTATCAGTAACAATACACTTCTCTTAATTAAAACATATAATTTATAGTACCTCTATTTTTTGTCAATTGCATCTCCTTAGCAAGAGACAAATCAAAATGGGCACCTCTTTGGGATTCACAAGCTAGGATTATACGCCGCACACAAACAGCAGCAAACACTCGTGTTGGCCATCGAGGTTGTATAGCCGGACGGCTTGATTGTTCATTGTCAGCATGAAATTCTATATCATCATCGTCATCATCATCAGCTTCTTCTAATTCGTCTCTTTCTTCATCAGTTCCTGTTGCCGCTCCAATGGCTCCTTTTGACTCCTCTGCATTACCAGTTCCACATTCTGAAGAGTTCCACATCATTTATCAAAACAATCTGTTTTATAATTTTTAAATGGAGAACATATTTAGTATTAATATGCAAGTACAGAAATATTTAAAAGCGCAAATATTTCTTTAATAGTGAACAAGCTATCAGCAATAACAATTATCTTCATTCATTCTTTTACATTACCCACTAAAATGCTTTACATTTGTTTGCAAAGACATGGCTTGGAACTGATTGCTTCACAACTTTGAGTTTTTAAAAATTATTATATTAAAATATTGGTTGAATTCTCCTTTCCTTTTTGATGACTTTTCCTTCTTAAAGAAGTTCTTGAACCTCAGATCCCTCAAAAAATTTAACAGGATTTTTCAGAAGAATTCATTAGAGGACAGTATAACTTCTTACATGTTTTTCAGGGGACTGAAGGGTAATGTAGTGATAAAAATGAATCACTCAAATTGATTATTATGACCAAAATAAAAACTCTATTGTTTTACCAGTTCATTCAGACTTCGATGGAGACAGGAAAGCACTGGGGATTGCTGTCCACTATATGGCATCAGGCATCCCTAAAGTAAAATAATTAAAGATGTTGTCATTGCCAACAATATTTTTTAATTCAATAGCAGCTTTCGATGGCTTAGCCATCATCATCATTGTCTGCTAGATGGAAGCCACAAAAAGACTAGTAGACTGGTAGTCGTTTTGTGGCTTCCATCTAGCAGACAACTGATGATGGCTAAGCCATCGAAAGCTGCTATTGAATTAAAAAATATTGTTGGCAATGACAACATCTTTAATTATTTTAAAAATGCCAAAGATATCTTACCACAACACCTATATCCCTAAAGTAATCCAAGTGAACGGGTAATGAAGTATTTATCACGATTATTCTGTGTGTACATACCAGAAAATCATAAGGGATGGTTTGAAGGATGGTTTGAAGCAATACCAATTCTAAATGAAGTGTTATATGCGAGACCACAGGCTAGTGGCACAAAGAAGAAACAAGGCATTTGAGCACATTAAGATCCCTCCAGAGGTCAGTGGATAGGAAGAAGTGACGACAGAAGACCGGATCATATTCAAGGATCTAAAGAATGTGTCAAGAAAAAGAAAGAGTCTCCAAAAATGACCGTTCCAGGCGACATATTGAGTGGGTGATTGAGTCCTGGTGAGATCAGTACATTTGGCATCACAGGAACAGAAGTTGTTTTTGAAATTCTTTCCTCTGTATTCTGCCTTATACAATTGTTAGAGTTTTAGACCAGAGTACAGTGATGTTATGAGACCAAGAACAAGATCTTGGCATACACAATATGTACAACATTAAGCCGTACATTGCGTTAACCGATGATGGGAATGAATAAGTTAGATGTAGTGATATTTACGTGTAGATAGTTAAGATTAGGTTAAGTTAGATTAAGTTTTTGCATGTTAAATTATAAGAAGAAGGAAGTCTGTAATATTTACTAGGCTGTCGGGGCTCAGGGCATTACGCCCTGAGGAAGGTCGCAGAATGGCGACCGAAACGTCGGCACCTTCGCCATGGACGCGGCATCACCCGGACAGCCTAGTAAATACCGACTCCGGCTGCGGAAGCCTACACTCTTACAAGTCTGTTATAGATTGTAAGATATAGTTTTAAGTACAATAGACAACATGTGTAACTAGTGTAACGAAAGGGAACAAAATAAAAGTGGCATGTGATAAGGATGTTTGAATAGCAACATCCAGTGCGAATGGCAAAGACGCAATGACAGGTGTAATTGTCTATCATCAGTACATCTGACATCTTGGTCGTTCTGACAACCATTCCATTCATTCACCAGTCCATTCAGACTCGTCACAATGATTAATAAAAAGATGCAGTAAGCTCACACACACACACACACACACACATGCACGCAAGCACACGCACACCCACCTACACATACACACACAAAGGACGTATTTAAATTTTGAAAAAACAATCGAAAAACTAGACTAACTGGAGAAGACACAGAGGGATGATAGATACCAAGCCGATAATATGCGGTGACCTGTGGCTGGTTGCTTCGGTTTCAAACTAGATGTTACTTAAGATTCTGTGGGACAAAGCATGGTGTTCTATGTGGGTAACAGGAAGTGCACGATAGCCACAGCCCCACAACCTGGTGACACCCATCACGCGAGACAAGAAAGCGATCAGTTTCATTACCTGCTTGTGCCACGCCACTACCGAAAGGATCTTGTATGATATTACGACAAGCAAAAGGGTCTTCGGAGAGAGGGAGTGTCAGAACACAAACTCTCTTATTGCACACTTATTGGTCATCTCGGATGATACCCTCTCCTGAGATCCTCAGAGATCCTATATGCTCCCAGCTTCCATATGCACCAGACTCAGACATTTTTCGAAGTTCTGCTACCAGAACTAGTCAGGGAGCCGACTTTGCGCTTCCACCCTGTGGGCTCGCACCACAGCTAGGCCAAGTCGAGCTTCTCTATTACATGTTTCATTTGCAGAAAGTTGCCTCTGAGGCCGAGCAACAGGTCACTTCACGGAAGTGCTCAAGAATGTGCCGACTAGAGTAAGATATGAGTTCTGGGTACACGATATAGGTCACCCTACGCCTCACCGGGATTATTTGGAAGTTATAAGGTATTCAAGGAACTTTTATTATGAACGTATAAGTGTGAAAAATGTATAAATGAAAAACGCATAACTGAAATAATGTAGCATGAGAATTATAGGAATGTATCTGGGACTTACCAAAAAAATATGTATAATCATGAAAAACGCATAAATGAGAAACATATAAATGGAGTTTCACTGTAGTTTGAAAAATTATCAGTAGAGTAAGAAAAATATTTTTTGTAAAATGGAATGGGTTTAAATTAAATTTTGAAATATTTAAAGTACAAATCTTTAGACAAAAATGTAAAATGATAATTTATTATACTGAACTCCTGAATTTCATTACAGTCAAACAATTTTATATGTAACCCATAGGTAAATTGGAAAGAATGTGAAAATCATTTTATAAAACAAACATTTGTTATATCACCAATTGTTATAATGACATGATATAAGAAACTGTACATCAATACCGAGTCTAAACAATATTATTATGTTTTTGTTCATTATTTACCTGTTGCAACTGTGAGGACATCCTTGCATAACAAAAGCCACTGAGAAAGATTATCTGCTGCCATCATGTGAAGCATACTTGTCAGTGTATGATGAATGTCTTTTATTAGATTTTCATCGTTTTCAGTATCAAGCATGGAAAACAGTACTCCGGGTAATCCACTTTCAGTTATAAGCAAGCCTAAAACACATGAAAATTAACTTACTACAATGGTTGAACAATACTCACGTGTAGTTTACTTTTTGGGGGAATCTACACTGCATGTGCACTTCATTTGATAAAATGTTGCCATTCAAACAATTTTAAGTTTTGAGAAGTTGTTTGGATAACTCCTTAGAAACCAAGATTGGGCACAACAATGGCAGTGAATTGGGTGTGGTTGGTAAATATTGTAAAACACAAAAGAGATGTTTAGAGAGGTGTTGTGACCAAAAACTTGCACCTAAAGGGTACACGTTGTGTACAAAAACATGTCACATGGCAGATTACATCAAGATAACTTGGACACCCATCTCAGCAAATATTTGTGGTAGAAAGAAAAAGGCTACAGAGAAACCCATTTATTTTTTTACTAGAACATTGCATTATTGCCTACCAAGGATTGTAGTATCAAATATTCTTAATTATTTAGTTTCTGATAAAAATGTTTTGGATATACATGTTTTCTGTAATACATAAAGGCTGCAGTCTTCCAGTTACATTAGAAATGCATTGGTCAGACTCAAGGATGTTTCATGTTGAATTTTATAAGTTGAAAGGAGGGGCTTATCATGAAATTGGATAAGCACAGTGAAACACATTTCCCTTCCACTTGCAGGTATTTGTTGTAATTGCTTAAAAAAAGATCTTAGTTCTGTTGTGTTGGCTAAATGAATCCACAGTTCACTTTGAGAATCCATGAAGTTGGTACTGTGTCAGAACAAAAAATGATATCTATTCTCAGAAACTTAACTACATTAAAATACCAGAAAAATAAATTGTCTTTGATATTTTACGATATTTCACAAGAAGTGTGGATTAAATAAAAAAAATATATAAATAAAATAAAAACTTAAACGAATGCAATGCAAGAGGATAGCAACAATAAAAAATTTAATTATGTAATTTTCAATGTAAGTCTACCTTCAACAGTGTTGGAATCCCTACTTTCACTAGCTAGTGTCATAGCATGTTCGCAGACTTCTTTTGCTTCTCTTTGGACAAGTTGACGTAAACATGAAATAGCAGCCTTACGGAGCAGTAAATGTCTACTGGATAATGTTCTCTGAAAAAATAAATATAATAATAACAAAAACTGAACTGCATACATACACAAATTACATATACAATTGTTAATTAATACAATATCTCAAATGATAATCCCAAATTCAATAAAGAGTATAAAAGCTTTATCATTTTTGTACATGTTTTAGAGCATGTATGTCTCATATATATATCATATATATATATATATATATTATATATATAATATATATATATAAAATACTATATATATATATATATATATGTATATATATAGTATATATATATATATATATATAAATATATATATATAATTTATATTTTATTTTTTAAATTATTTTCCAACAGACAGGACAGGATCATTCCCTGCTTTATTAATTACTATTACTTCCCTGCAGCAATTGTTAAAATTAATTTATTGTAGTTTTTATCACACATTATTTCCTGAAGTATGTAATGTAAAAAAAATAGATAAGGTGATTCACCTGGATAAATAAGTATATACAATATAGTATCAATTATTCAAATTTACAAAACCTAAACCATTAATAATCTGAATTCGATTATGGTAGAGGGAATCACATTAAGCAAGTAGAAAATATTCACATTTGTTTAAAAGCATTTAAGGGATTAACCCTTTGATTGCTCTAGACCAGTTAATATGCCTAACATTTATGTGCGTGGTAGGCTCTGGGCAAGTTATTACACTCAGTCAGGCTGTCGCTGGGAGACTCTGGACGAGATCATACATGGATGTCCCCACAGCCTCTCGACAAGTTTGTTCTTGCAGATGAGCTTGCGGCTATCGCTAGGACTTGCTGATACCTGATCTCTTGCGAGCAAGCTTAGCTCACAACAAGGCCCGCAGCGAGAAGCATGACGCTGTCGACCTACCCATAGCAGTTAAAGGGTTAAAAGCTTACAAACTATGATTTACTGTGGGTACAGTATTTTTATTACTGGATATATTGTAGTTTGCTGTATGATTAGATAATACTGTTCTTAAAACAAGACGTACTGTATAGTCTTTTCTATTAAAAATTAAAAACAATTTTAGCCTGCATTATAGATTGAAGAAATCTACAGGTTCATTTCAAAAAGTCAAACAATTAGATAATCTGGAAATGTCCACTGCCATCTGAATTACTGATACATTGTATAATAAATTACATTAATAGATTTTTTTAAATATAGTATTAAATTCATTTAATGTTTTATTATGAAGATAATTATATCATTAAAATGAAATAACAATTAATTTCATATAAGTCTATACTAACTGAAAATATCTCAATGATAATCGAGATTAAAATAAAAAAATACCAATGGGAATTAAATGTAGCACCATATGCTCTTTAACATGAAATTCAAGAATGTCTCCTATAAATAAATTATAATCAGAATATTACACAAAGTGTTGGGACCAATGATGACAAGTTCACATGGCGAGGAGCAAATAAATGTAGTTGTTGTAAACAGCCAGTTGCCTCTGCTTGAACCAAGGGATCTTGATGATCTTGCATGATAGCACAAGCACACAGAAAACTTGATCGAGCCATACAGATAGAAGTAGTGTTACCTAGAAGCAAGAAACCTCACAGTTAAAATTATTTATTTTTCCCTAACTTATCAAATATAAATGCCAATTATTCTTTTACTATATACAAGCCACAAAAGTTTGTTCTCCAACACAAGAGAAAAATCATTTAACTTAAGAATTTGTTCATGTTAATCAGTGGCGGCTCCTTGGGCTAGGCAAGGTTGGTGCTGCCTACCCTGATGAATATGTACTAATTTCATACATTTCATAAAAACACAGAAATTAAACGACTCCTTCAATTTTAATACGGTGGAAGCATTATTCATCTGGAAATGTCTAGTAAACATTTCATAATCGTGGCATGAACAATTTTTCCATTTCAAGCATTTACTAACAGCCTGTGCACCATGCGATCTAGTATCATGTCTCTTCCACCAGAGACCTGCGCCCACTTGCACCTTTCTGAGTCGGCAATGCCTGGGCACTGCCTCGCTTTGCATCTGTTGCCCTGTAGTGAGCGTAAAATGCTGTGTTCGTACTTGATGCATGTGGGTTGTGTATAGGTCAGTGAATTCGCTTGCTTAACAAGCAAAGAAAATGTTTATTTAGGAAGTTTTTTTTTTCTTTTCTTTTTAAATTAGCAGATTATTAGTGTTACTTGACTTTTTATATTTAAATCTGACTTTACCCTAATATTATGGTGGATACAGTGAATGAACTACAACATACTTTTTTCTTGTCTTAACAATGTAGAAAAAAGACAAATTTTGGACAATGGTGAGAAAAATGAAAGAAAATTCAATCCTTTGTGGTATGATTCAGCCAAATGCCTAACAACTACCAAAGTTAAAGCGAAGGTTTATCGTTGGCCATGTCTTTTATTGTCTCTTATTAATTAAGGAGAATACTTGCAATAGAATTGGATATTTTGGCATGAAGAATCTATCGAAAGCTACACAAGAACATGAAACGTCAAGAGATCACATATGTAATTCAGTGATTCTTCATGAAAGTAATGCTTTTGAATGTAATGATATCAGTGAGACAATTGTTTTGAATAAATTGAATAAAATTACAAAACAACAACAGCAACAGCGAGCCGCCACTGTTATAACTATTGGCCACACATGTTATTTCTCACACAATATAAAAATGTTAGTGATCATTTTTAATTATTTGCTAAATAATATGACCAAATTCAATAACTAAATTCCTTAAATTAAGAATACAGATACTGCTCAATTATTCCATAATAAAACTATAGAGAAAATATTTTTAAAAAAAGAAATGTAAACGAACTATATACTTCACTTGTTACATTACTAGAATTACCCAACTACTACATTTAATTTACATTATTTTAGGAAAAAGCAGAACCTCTATAACTAGAGAATATAATAAAGAAACCAAAATTATAGTAACAGATGAAAAAAGTAATAAAATATAAAATGTTGAGATTACATAAATAAAGGACAGAATTATATCTGATTTAATGAGCATGTGATACATAAGGAGAACAGAAATCAGCTGGTTTAAAGATGTACTGACCTTGCAATTCAGGACCAACTGTTGTAATTAAAGCAGCCAAAACTTTGCCAATACATTGATGCACATCTACATAGGATTGTGGTACACCAAGCAACAGTTTCAGTATTAAGGACAATGTAGGTTCAACATATCCTCGGAACATAGGTCCGCCAGAATCAGCTATTAAAGCCAGAGCTTGTAATGACCAAACCTTATTCAAAGAAAGTACATCAAAACAGTCAAACACATTTCTAAAATAAAAAAAATTTAAAACTTTATTCTCTTCTCCACAGTAATTAAATAAACACACTAATAGTAGTCACAATTTCAAAATATTTAAATGTTACTCACACAAAAATTAAAATACAATTTTTCTAAACAAGATCTGAAGTCTCAATCAAAAGACTGCAAAATGAAGTAATACAGGAAATTCAAAATCACCTTTTTTCTTTGACAAATTTATTTAATACAGGCCATTACTTGGTGTAATTACTGTGATATGATTACATTACTGTGATACAATAATTACTCACACACAGTGTAATAATGGTTGGTTATGAAGATATCTTAACGTAATGGCAGGCAAATGTGGTATTAACCAGTCAATGTTTTGGTGGTTTTAAATGCGCAAAGAATGGAGAAGTTAAAAAGACTTCCAACAATCTGTATTATTTACTCTTTGATATTTCACTGACCTACTTTTTTATAGAAAGCTTTTCAAGCATCAATCGAAATACATTAATTGTTTGTATCAGCACTGTTTTCTCTTCAAGATATGTTAAACAAAATACAGCACAAATTTTATATATTCATAATAAATAAATGGAGAAAGATAACTGAAGTTTAAGTTCTATAAAATAAACATAATTACCATATTCCACTGAACGTGATTATTCTTTATTCAATTACTCAATTTCTCTGGGCATTAGGGCAAAACAAAAAACACCATTCTTACTTGAACTATTGGTGACGAAGCATCTTGGGCCAGTGCAAGAAGAATGCTGACGCTTGTGTTCAAATGCTGACTAGAGCCCATGCTTCCCACATATCGATGCAGACATCCCAATGCAAGGGAGTGACCAGTACGCGATGCCACATCCCTTGCTGATTTCAGTCTGTCAAAACTCATCTGTGCTAATTCAGCAGTAAACTTTGAATCTCCTATGACTTGAGCCATGCGGCCCAAAGATTCTGCAGAAGCACAGCGTAAAATTGGATTTGGGCTTGTAAGGGCACCCTGCATCATTCAAAAGGTAACACTGAATATTTTGTGGAATAGTTAAAATATTGTTTGTAATTCATATAAAGTTCTTCCATTGCTCACAATTATAAGAGTTGTAGCAGACTTTTTCACATCTTCTTGGCCAAATGTAGCCTTACAATCATTAAGGCCCTTCAAACCACTGAGAACAGCAGTAAAAACATTTAACTGCACAGCTTCCTGTCGTGCTGATTTAGCATGTCTTATGCATTCTGCAAAATGGTCTAACATTTGTAAACGATGCTTATTAGCAACGTGAGGAAAAATTTGGCCAAATAAGGTCACTGACATATCAATGACAGCAACTCCCAACGGCAAAGGTCCTGGGCAGTTTTCTCCCTGGAATTGGCAAAATCATATCTTAATACCGTCTTCCTCAAAACTATTGAAACATTCCAATAAAAATAGTATTTTACCATTTGTACTTGTTGATATAAACAACACGTATCATGCTCCAGAGCTCCGGATCCAGCAGCACTATTTGGTTGCAGCTGCAACAGATGAGTTGGCAAATTGGAAAAACTAATTTAAGAAAGAAAGAAGGAAAGAGAAACACAAATAATGGAGTAACACTTTGAATCACATATCCCTTCATTTTTGTAGCTGCTCAAAAGTGTTTGTAAAATTTGAAGCAACACTCCTGAGATTCAAATGATTTTTTTGTACATACAACTATACGTTCTCTTTTATATAAGAGATTAGTCAAGAAATAAATATATATTTGAGTATCTAAAACATTTTTAACATAAGGTGATATTTGACATATCAAAATTTCTGCTCCTCTTTTATTGTGAAATGCAGAATTTGGATATTGTAAGAATTCAGAGGAAAAGCAACATTTTATCTACTAATTATTTCAAAGGTTTTAAGACAATTCATGGGATGGAGAGAGGAGAGGCATTTTAGCACAGAAACAGATCGCTTGTTCAAATCCTGCCTTAGGCATTGATGTTTGCTCAAGTGTTGTGGCATCCACCTTAAAGCACCTTTTCAATCCCCTTGAATGGCGCAGGTCTTGGGGCTTGAACTCATGTTAAATTACTCCTAGACTGTGGTTCTAAATCCTGCACAAGGTATGTCTTGGAGCATCATGTTTGCTTCTCCAACCTTCAAGCCCAACCCTTTCCCTTTCCCTTTCCTAGGACCTTCTGCAAGAATATTACGATCACCGTGTGTGACATTAAAGCCACAACTAACTAGGTGCAGCCTGGCTCCTTTTCTCTCAACCAGACTAAGCATAGATAGACTCACAAGGTTAGCAGAGTGCACATATGTTATGTACATTTTCAAAATAGACACCACCCACATCGAAGCAACAGATGGGCAGAAAGGGGGAGAGAAAAAAACATGGAGAAAAATAGTATAAGCTGGAGAAAAACATCTCTGGAGAATATTGCATATAGTCTGTGATGTCTTACTAGTAATACAGGTATTCTTTGTTGAAAAATAGAGCATAACAGTCATGGAGATGATGTTTCTCAGGAAGAATATCTAATGCATGTTTTTGAAGTATATACATGAATGATAGACTGATCTGAACTATTATTTAAAGCAGAAGTTGATTAACAGGCTCAGAATACCAAACGTTATAAAAACCTAAAATATCTGTACTCAATATACACCTAGAAAATTAAAATAAATTACATACCTGGTCTTCAATGGATCGATGATCTGTCTCTTGAAGCCATGTTCCAAGAATAACGGAATCGTCTGCATGACATACAGTGCGTAGAAGGGAAGTTGTTGTATTTGCAGCATTTTCAGTTAATGTAAACTCGGCTACTAACATCCTCAAAAGATGCGTGTAAGAGCCTTCGAAAGCTTGTGACGGTAGTAAAGACAATGTCTGATAGAGTCGGAGTCTCACCATGGCAGCAGGAGCTTTCAAATGTTGTCCATAACTCTTTAATATCACTGATATACTGCAATAGAGATTGAATTTATTTTTCATTTATATTTAAATTAGTTTTTACCTACTTACTTCTATTTAAAATTTACTCAAATGCATGATATTTCAGACATTTGGTTTAATGCTTTAAATTAATTCTAAAAATTTCATTGTGTTTCCTCCCGAGTGAAAATTATGATTCTCATTCAATTTGATTATCTGTTTTAACTAGTAATATAATATGTATGAATGAAATTCCATCAAAGCAAATTTAAATTGTTCTTATTGTTGTTATTATTATTATTATTATTATTATTATTATTATTATTATTATTATTATTATTATTATTAATGTGTTGTTTTTATTAATTATATCTGTTAACAATTCAGTGACAGTTTGCACTGTTTGTATAGTCTAATCATGTTTACATTTATAATGCATTTGGATAATTAAATGGTGAAGTTTATATATTTACAATAAGTAAGCAGAACATTAAGGTAACATACGAGGTTTATAGACAAGACAGTGCAGTATCGACACACTTATAACAATACAGCACAAATTACTGTATGTCACAGCAGTGATTTTTATATTCATGTTAATGATAAAAATTCTTGAACACAGCTTAGGAATTGAAATTTAAGAATTCTTCAATACTATAAAAACAGTAACTGATAAGCATATTTATAATTCAGTTTTGAAATCTTTTGCTCTCCAAATTCTGAATATGGTTATATTAACATATATATTAGGAACATTTTATAGAACATATATTAATGTGTGTTTGAAGGGGTGCACATGTATACCTATTCATACACTTTTCAGAGGTTATAATTGCAACTGATGCATTATTTTTAGGATAAGGTGGGTAGCAGAATTTAGAAACACCTCACATTTCATCACTTTTCGGGAATAAAAACCAATTTAAAACGCTATTATGGAGTTTTATAATTTTTTGAATGGTTCTTATGTTTTTCCATTGCAACCTTTCTTCAGTTCCTCCTTCTGTGTGATGAAATCACAGGGATTTAGCTAGTTGTTACTGTTATAGTTAATATTAATATTATTATTATTATTATTATTATTATTATTATTATTATTATTATTATTATTATTATTATGATTATTAACATTATTATGTGAAATTTTTACTGTGGCTAATTTTTTTACAAGATAAAAATTAGTAGATGTACTACTTACTTTGTCAACATCACTAAAGCTGATTCTACTGGTGTAAGCAATCTTCGAATGACATCTTCACTCACTAATTCAGGGCAATTTTGAAGGAAACTGTACATCGCTGATAACGCACCTGCTCTAGCTTCTAAGGTCACCTATGTCAGATAATACAAACAAAAAAGAAATTTTAAATCATAATTCTAACTTTTATTACACAACTTAATAGAAAATTCAAAATAATTCATGGCAACCAATAAAGACTTCTGTATTCTAAATGGAGATCATTAGCTCTGTTTCCGTATGTTGTACTTTTGAATATCTCTAAGACATGTAATATTACATTTACAGTACATAGTTCTGTTTAACTGAAAACTTCACACCAGACGCAAAAAACTAAAAGCTGTCACAGCAAGCATTGTTGCAATATATTCATCTCTCTTAGAGGACCCATTTATTACACTTCTTTTTATTTTTAGAGATGTTATATGAATAATTAGGTAAATTTCATTTTTTCTGCTGTATATATTATCACAATATCATTGGGTTTTATAAAACTTAATTTTCTCACCAAATTCAGAGTTAAAGACCAAAAACAATCTTTTTGTGGGAATGAAACCTACAATCACTAGAATGAAATTTTCTATCATACTTATTTACAACATACCTGCCATGTAAAAGCATCACCTCTTGCTTTTTCCGATTCCAATTCCTTATTAGATCTGGGAAATGAATTTCTCCATAGTAACAACATGCGAGGTAAAAGACCTCGCACCACAGGAACACCTACCCCCAAGAAATTACATACATTTTCAAATCTTTAAAAACAAGATTTATTTGTAGTAATCTCTACTACAAATACGCATTACAAAAAGTAACCATACCCAGTGTCATAATTGCACCAATTAGTAACCAACCAGACTGAGTTCTATGCAGAGAGAGTCGACTATTTTGGCTAGCACTGCGTAGAAGTTCTTCAGCTGTATTGAAAATAACCTGACAACAAAATTGCAGATAAAAAGACAAATGAAACTAAAATTAAAACAACAGTTTACACTTTTGTGACTTTCTCATGCTCTTAAGAATCAACAATAAATAAAATATTCAAATATTCCTGTAAATAAGTAAAATAAAATAAAACAACACAGAAATACCTTTCCTTTTGTATGAGGAACTCCCAGAGGTGACAAACGAACGCCTCCAAGAACTGCAGCAAGGGCAGCACTATATCCTGCTAATCCCTCAGGGCATAATCTCATTGTTTCAATTCCTTCAATGCATCTGTACAAAATTATATCATTGCTACACTTTCAAATCTTTCAGCAATAAACAAAGTTTACAAACGAGAGAACAGAATATCATTTATTTACATATGTATAATCCAAAATGCATGTCAAAATTAGTAGTTCTACAAAGACACATAGTTTCTCACATTATATGTAACTTTTGGGGTTTTTGAAAATTCAATGACGACAATTAAACCTGAGCCATTCCTTTAAGCACCTGAAGCTCTAACAGAGGAAACACATTTCAGAAAAAAATTGGAGCCATTTTTGAGAACCTTTTTTATATTGCTTTTATTTTAGGCAAAATTTATGCAAAAAATTGTACTTGACCTCATTTAAAGATTAATTTTTTACAACAGATGTTTATAACATAAAAATCCTTGTAAACAATATTTTAGTTTTGCATAGATAATTTTTGCAATTTCGGAAATACACAATTCATTGAAGATGGAACATGTGTTGTTTTTTGTATGTGTACTTTGCACTATTCAAAAAAGCTGCGGAGCTGTTTCTTAGAAAATAACTGTTTACAAATTGTCATTATTTCATGCAAAATTATGCAAAAACTAATCATATCTTCGAAAAATTGTTTTGAAAAATGACCTTATTTCATTGTCTTTGAAGAACAAATTTTATTATCAAAAAGATCTTTATCTTCAATTTTGTAGTTGTAGGCCAATACTGAAAGCTCAACAAAAATAGACCTCCACCATCTTTTTACTTTTCTTAGTTCTATCAAAGAAAAAAATTTAATTAAAAAATTTTGATTGAGCAAATTTTGAAAATGTTGCTAATGCTTCATGTTAAGTTCCCACAAAAATCAAAATTTGTTTCAAACCCACAGGGCTTCAAGTTCATTCAGATAAATAGGGAAATATCGATTCTGGAGAAAATCATATGAAGTTTAGGCATAGTGTTGACCACAGACAGAAATTTTTCCTGCAATCAATTTCTCAGTATTAAGGACCCACAACTATGGATTCTTAGTATACATGTAAGAGTAAATAATTTACTAATACAGAAACACGATTTATTCACTTTTTCAAATATCAGTGCCTCACAATATGAGTTTTTCTAATGATAAATTGCCACTTTCCATTGCAACATTAATACTTTCTTCTTATGACTAACGCAGTATGGTGAGAAAGTAAAATTCAAACCTAAATTGTAGAAATACTAATTTAAAAAGAAGGAGGAGACATAATTTTATTTTCAAATATATTTATGAAAGTTTTAAAATATGGCTACACTAACAAAAGAGAATAATAATAAAATAATTTACCAGGAATTCCCTGCTCATATTTCTCACAAGAGGAAAACAATAAGCATCTTTTAACACCAGTATGATTTCTCCTTAAACTATATGGAGTATTTTCCCTCAATAAAAGTAATTCTTAAATCAATTGTCATACACATGAACATCAATCCCCACCATTAAGAATTTTCACTTTATCTAATTACTATTTTGCAAAGCTCCTTTTTAACTTTCTTTAAAATTCCTTGCTCAAGCTCCCTCACCTATCAATCAACGGTGTAATTTGACTTGGTACAGCCACACACACACAACGAAGGCACCATGCAGCAGCAAGTCGCGCTGCCTGACACGGATGCATTAGAACCGCCATCGTTGCTTCAATCACACCTATTTAACAAACAAGAAATTAGTTGATTTTCCCAACAAATAATAGAATAAAATAAATTTTATCAAAGCTCATAATATCTGAAGAAGGTATGCTAACGAAAATACTATCTTACTTTGAGATGGATCTGATATCACAGATGCTGATGTGGTTCCTAAGCCTAAAACAAGGCTTCCAGTCTCTTGAAGTGCACATACCAACATGTGTTGACTGAACAAAGTTTCTTGATTACAGTCCTTGGCATTTTCAGGATTGAAATCTGAAATATTATCACATTAAATATAATTAAGTTTTTGATCATTAAGAAAATCCTTTACATCTGAAGCAGTAATTTAAGGTCATTTGTTTATATGGCATTAAAAAATTATTAATTTATTATTTTATTAATTCAGAAATATAAAATTGATAATGGGATTCAGAAATTCAAAATCATAATATTTATTTATAATACTGTTTAAAATAACCAAACACTAATATAAACTACTCTGAAGAAACAAAACAAATTTTTGGTGGAAACAATATAAAGAGAGATTGCAACCCAATAAAGAACTTCCAAAATTTAATTGGTAGTGTCATTGTAATAATTAAATATTTAGTGATTTAAAATTATTTATAATAAAAAGGTGTATAATGAACATTTTGTTTCAATTATGTTTAATAAAATTGAAAAACTGTTGGTTACGCTTGCAGTAATGTCAAATTTCAAACATAAGAGAAATAATAAAAAAATTAAAATTTCATTCACATAAGAGAAAGAAAGAAAGTCTTATTTCTTGGTTCACAAATTACATGTTAACAAATTTTGAGAATAAATAATATTATTTTAACAGAATTACCAAATTTTTGCCATAAATGACCACAACTCAAATAATACAACTTACCAATTGAATTCATTTGCTTAATCACTATATGAGCAATGTCTTTACAGGCTGATGCTTGGGCTTTCTCACCCAACATGCGTCCCAATAGCCCACGCAATATGAAACTGATGCATTTTCTGGAATACACGGCATCAACATGCGAAGAAGCTGCTTTCGGATTTGCAACAAGATCCAAAACATGAGCCAGAACAACAGCCAGATTACGCTCAAGCCATGCACCACCCATTGTCTGAACAAATACTACATATGCCTAAAAAATAAAATTAAACATATTAAGGTACAAGTATTTAAAATAACGAAAATTTGTTAATAATGAAATTTATACTCACATGAGTTACTCCAACACGAACTTCCTTACTCACACTTGAACTTCCTTTAATAATTTCACCAGTACCCTTCAAAAACCCAATGCCTCCTCTTAGGAAGCCAGACATTAAGATACCGAAGGCTTCTTCAAGAGAGATTGATTTACTTCCTTTGACTTGAGCAGCTATAAAAAATCCATAACCTTTTGATAAACGTCTTCAAACAAAGCATATTTATTCTAATATCCCAACTACAACTCTTGAGATGATATTTATTTGTAAGATTATATGCAATAAACAAAAGTATTTGTTATGAAACCAAGTGAGCGAAGAAAAATGTTATAATCTATTTAGTTTAATACATGAGATAGGGAATGTCAGAGAAGAAAAGAAGTCTTTTTTGGTTTAATATGACTATTGTATAATCACTTAAATAGTCATTTAATTAACATTTTTAAAAACATCAATTCATTAAACATCAATCATAGCATAAAATTACCAAAAAGACAAGTCAGAGAATAAGAATTATTTGAATGAACAAGTCAGAGAATGAGAATTATGTTCTGTTGAGTCAATCCCAAAGTTATTTCAATTGGTGCATAAATGTGTTTTCAGTTTTTACCACACAGTGGTATTAGTGCATTAATTTTTTATCACAAGGATACAAGATGACAAAAGAGATAATAATATAACATATATAAATAAAAGGAAGTTAAAACATAAAAAAGAAATACACGATGTTACTAAAATGGTAATTTAACATGAACAGTAAAAGATGATATAAAGAGAAATAAAAGGAACCAGAAAGTAAATCATATGCACTATTATTCAGATGGTAATTCAAAATTCACAAATTTAACACATACCAGTATTATTTCCTTTGCAGTTTAGTTGAGTAGCAGCAATGAGATTGCCCAGTAATTTTGCTACTGCACATCGAACTTCATAATTTGAGCCTTCAAATGCACGGAAGCACAATGTTGCCAAACTTTCTAACTCAGTTGTGTAGAGGAAAGTGGCATGATTCAGCATCTCCATAAGGCACTGATACAAACATTCAGCAACAAGCTCAATACATTGGACAGTAACCAAGAAATATGGCCATACATATTGACACATATGCCATTTAAGAGAATGTCAATTTAGTATTAATGGATTTTTCATTTACACTACTTCTACAGATATTAATCAGACTGAAGACAAATAACAATTTACCATGCATTAAAAACACAAAGGTGGATAATGAAGAAATAATGATATGGTCATAAATTAGAACTGATCAATGGTGATGAATTGAATTAAACATTTAGAAGGACAATTACATGCAATCAAAATGACAAATGTCCAATCCAAATGAGAAAGACTTGCAAGAGATCTGGTAATTCAACATTAATTTGGTTTTGACCACCTTCCCCACCTAATAATTCCATCTACCAAATTTCTTACCTCTTCAAACGTGAAACGAAACAATAAGAAGCATGTACTGTCAAAAAGGAGAGACCATTTTAGAACTAATTATCTCCTACAGCCCAACTATTGTCATTCTTAATAAAGAATCTAATTCTTATCCAAAAGGCTACACAAACTTAAAACTATTTCAGGCTATTTCGCTCAAACTATGCCAAGAGCAAAAAGCAATTTACAGTGCTCAATTCAGTCAGATTAAAAACTGACTTGAGAATATAAATTGCAATTTTTTTTCCCTTAAAATTACAATCATCATCTAAGACATGTAATTGTTGGAATTTTAGGGAAGAGTTGGCAAATGGATCAAATGAATAGTTTATGAATTGTGCTGACTGCCCCCCCCTCCCCCGCTACCATATCTCAAGCTTTGTTGATTTTTCACCATCATGTAAAAAATAAAATAACATTTTAACGAAAGTAGAAATGCATGAAAAAAAGAACTGTAAAATGAAGATTTCAAAATAGATAACTCTTCCATTCCAAAAAATAATTTTCCAACATTTCTCAGAAATGTCACGTCAGACATTGTATCTTGAAAGCAATGGCAGTAACCTGAGGTCAGCGTTTTGACCCGAGGGTGTCGAGAGTTAGGATCAAATGATTGTTTTTCACAATGAGATAATACACTTTTCCCAACCCAAGAGAGGACTTCTTTTCAATGTGTGTAGCATTGAAATGCCAGTAATAGAATGAATGATAGCCGACCTGAGAATTTTCTGCTGAAAGTATGGGCAGGATGAGAATTCACATTCTTTCACAAATTACTACAACAGTAATATTAATAATAATAATAATAATAATAATAATAATAATAATAATAACAACAACAACAACAACAACTTTAAAACAATTCTCCATTAGTTATTTCCAATTTATATTAATTGTAATCAACTAATTTTTGTTTTGCTTCCCATCATTCCTCCCTTAACTTTGACACAAAGTTACAACTATGTTTTTATGTACTACAACACAAATCATACCTTTGCAGCTGCACATCGCACAGCCATCACTCGATCAGTCAAGCACTGGCGAGCTGCCTTGTATATTTCCTTGTGCACGTTAGTAATTGCACTGCTCATTCCTAAGCAAACCTACATGGACAAAGTTTTCTTAGCAAGTGTACACAAATAATATCACCATGGTTGCAAAAACCTCACTCTTCATTCTACTCCGAGCAATTTTAAAACCAAAAGAGAGCGGAATAAACACATCAGTTAAAAATATATATTTTTGAATGCTTCATTCGAAAGCAAGTTCCATATACTTTTCGTTATATACATACAAGATCTTTATTTTATCTTGCAACTCATGTCTGCGAGCACCTGCTGCTGTTTTGGCAATTTGGTAACTGCATGAAATACCAAGCATCCTTCCATTTCGTTAACCCTCCGACAGTAATGGGCTCCCAGGTTTCGTGTCGGGGCAATGCGACTATTTCTCGTGTCGGGGCAGTCTTTCTTTCTCATTTTATTCATCATTTAGGAAAGAACAATTGCTAAAATTGTCATTTTAAGGAACTATAATTTATTATAATTATTTTCAATAATTATTAATTTACTACTTACTGACTGAGTTTAGCTCAGAGCCAGTATTGCCATTATGTCTGCAGTGACTGCGATTGGGAGGTTCTAGAGTTTGAATACCAACGGTGGCAGACTTTCAACTGTAGCCAGACAGCTAGGTCACAATCAGCTGCTGTCTGTAGGAACATTCCAGAGGCTTATTGTTCTGACTGGTAGTTTTGTGTTTCTCCAATCAATACCATCCTCTTCCCTCACACACACACATTTACATGTACTACACTAGCACACACACCAGGAGCTTAGAGCCAGGAGCGTGGTTGAGGTAGGGAGAAATACCCCAGAAGCTAATGTATAGGTTGGCTCTGGTTCTCTCCAGCCAACGGCGGAACACTGTCACCTCCAGACTTAAAAAACTTTCATTACTCTAACAGGACTCAAGGCAATAGAGGTCCACATGCCTGGAAACATCAATATATTTACCACTTTTGAGTATTAATATTTTATAAATATTTGTATTGATATTATTACGATTTTCTTATTTGTTGGAATTGAGGGTATCTAATAATAATGAGCCAATTGGGGTAGCCGTGATCACTAAGGCAGGAGTGCTGAGGCGCTCTCAGGCCGATGCATCGTGGTTTGAGTCATGCGTCAGCCATGGTTGTATTTGTGTTTGTCCTTTCACCCCTCAACATCACCTTATCCCATCATTGAGTATTTCCTCCAGAAAGGTAGGAGTCTCTTGCTATTAATGGAATCTTAGTTGACTAAAAAACTAATAATAAAAAATTAAAAAAACAATAATGATGATTATACAAAAATGAAGAGCTTGGTGATGATGTTTTATGAGGTATCTTTCTGAGCCGCTTTCATTAAGTTTTGTTGGCCCACTTGTGACTCAGCCCCCCCCCCCCTCCTCCATGCTCTATAACACTCACTCAGTCTGAAAGAGTTCTGGTCCATGGGTCATGTATGAGCCTCATTGTGATCAGTCTTGAATAGGAAAAACACAAAATCAGTTAATTTGCTGCAGATTATAATATATAAGGTTGCCAAATTTCCTGAACACGAGCAGTTGCTCCCAATCATGGGTTGCAGTATAAAAAATGTACATATATGGTCCACAGAAGGTTTCATATACATATATTTGCTTACTGTTACTCAAGACTACTCATTTTCACTTAATCAAAGGAGGGTCTGAAGTAAGAGAAAAACTGACACGCTTGATAATGAAATGACACGATATTAACCCTAGCAATACCAAGACATAAAAAACATGTGTATTACCAGGGAGGACCTAATGTCAAATTATTCTACAAGATCGTAAGTGTTGACAACACCATCAAATTACAGCAGTACTTCTTAGCCTTTAAATAATTGGTGCGCTCAGAACGACATGATGCTACACCCTGATAAATGTTTTGCCATCACATTTGTAAGAAAATTTTATTTAGTCTGATATTCATACTCCTTCAATAGCTTCAATCTTATGTTTGTCAAGAACATAAAAGATCTTGGAATCACTTTCAATAAAAAATTTTAACTTTATTGAATATGTAATTTGTGCTGTGTGAACGTGGGGTTTCTTACTTTGAGAACGTGGGGTTTCTTACTTCACAATACATCGCAATTTCGTTCAGCCAACACAATCATACTACTTTTTAATATTTTAGCTAGACCTGTCTTAGAAAACACTATATTTATCTGGTCCCCCTATACTAAAAAATTGACTGACAACTAGGAAGTGTCCAGCACAAGTTACTATGGAATCTTGCTTATCGGAATAACATACCCATCCATAGAGTTTGTCACACTTACTCCAATTTTGATACATTGTTTAAAACTTCATATCTTAGCAACAGAATAGATAATAAACAAATATATGGTTACTAGTAACCTTGTTTTATTCATAAAGTTGAATCCAGTAATTTCGTCAGATTTTTTTTTTTTTAATTGGTTTTGCTAAAAGCTACTAGAAAAAGTCAGACTTTCTTTGTAGAATGTTGTAAAACTGATTATGGTGAGAATGACACATTCAACACACTCCAATCTTTAGCTGTAAACAAACACTCTTTTCAACACTTCTACTTCATGCTTTAGAAAAGTTGTAGATAATATTGTACTTTATGACTAATCTCCATTATTAGTAGGGGGCAGATTTCAATGAATTGTTTTTTATTTGTTTATTTTTTCTTTTCACTTTAGAACAATGCCATTTAGTATAGAAATTCATTTTATGTTATGACGAAACGAAATGACTCATTTTAATGTCAATTTTTTGCATTTTTCATCGATTTAATCTATTTTAATATTTAATACTAATAAGTAATTTTTTACGTCATATTTACTGCATTTTTTGCTGATTTAATCTATTTTAATATTTTTTTAATGGTATTTGCATCAAATAATATTTACGAGATGCTACAAATATTCACCACAGAAATCCTGAGTAGCCTATTTGATTTCTTCGTTCATATATTGCAATGTCAGCCTTGCGCCTACTATGTAATCTCAGATTCCTGTAATGTTTATATCAGCACCATTGTCAGTTCAGCCAATTTCGTGATAAATAACGCCAGAGATTTTCTTTTAAAGAACATTTCAAACCCAAAGTTTACAAGCTGAGTTCACTTGAACAAAAGGAAGAAGCATCAATAACATCAGTAATATATCTAACAGCTTTAGTTGTTCACCTGAAGTGATTTTGATCAAATTTGTTATGTCATTTTCTTTGTTTTTAGGACATTTTAAGAATTTTATTGATCATTGTTCGCAATGTTTTAGGTCATCAAAAACTGCCCCCCAATTATTAGCCTACCATTATTTTTCTTTTCTTCATTTTTTGTCCTTTCCATTTCATATACACTCCAAGCAATATGTATACAACACACTTATATTGAAATTACTATATCCATTGTAATTACTGTATTAAAGGGATATCCCTTAAAATAAATAAATAAATAAATATTATACAATTTTCATCTCTTATTGCTAAAAAAATTCAATTTTCTCGCATCAATATATTATTTAATGAGAAAACCTATATACTCAGTTTTCAAGTGTCAATAGTCTTGAATACTTTTATCTACAGCTAAAGACTTTTTGATAACTCACATTATTGCCAATGCTTGGGATAAATTGCAAAATATTTTGATCAAGAAGCACATTATATACCATATCAATGATTTAAATGTATCAAAAACTAACAAAAAATCACTCATAGACTGAATTGCCCCCCCCCCATTCAAGTGTTACTTTACTGGTATCAACCCCATGCAAGCAGACATTACTGGTATCAATTAATCACTATAAACTCAGTATAAACAAATTGCACACTTTCTAGATTTATTTGTCTGACATTTAATATCACTTCAATAATTTCAACAATTTTGTTTGCTTTACTAGCATAACCATTAAAACTGATTTAAAATTTGGGTGATACAAAATGACAGACTTGAAAATACAATTCAGAGGTTAAAAGAAACTTCCATTTGCATTTTTAAAGTACATTTGTATAAATACCTTTCCTAAAGTGAGCATAATTTCCAGTCTTGTTTGAGACTCAGCACTACGAAGTGATTTGATAAGGATCTGTACAGTCTCCTCATACGATCGTCCCATCATTCGCCCTAGTTTTTCATACATACAACCAATGCAGCAAATGGCAGCCCTATAAAAAAGAACAATCACTTTCAATAATCTGAGTTTTATAAGAGATTTAAATATTGCTTTCTTTTTTTGATATCAAAATTGCAATTTTACAAATAAAAAAAATATAGAAGAACATTTACATAATTTGTTTTAGTAATCTACCAAGAAGGAAGACATACATAAGTACCTAATGAAATAACAAAACTAGAAGGAACTTTCAAGTAGGCAGGAAAGAATGTTGAATCTGACAATATTTAATATTTACTAAAGTAGATATTTACTAAATAGAGTATCCAGAACATACATAGTGAGTGTTATGTTTCATAAATAACAACAAAAGAAGTAAGTCACAAAAACATATGTTCACAGATACAAAGAGAATTGGAAATATGGAAGAATATTTATGTAACTATTTAAAAATCAGATAAAAGAGACCTAGTGTTATAAAATAAAAATTCAAAAAGAATGAATGAATAACTGGCAAACAAGCAACAGTACAAACATAAGACAACTTCAAAATAAAATGAGATATTACTAATAAAGACATTAGTACTACACTGCATCTTATAATATATTAAACAAAAACTATAACTTTTGGTGGTTTTATGGTTAACTGAAAAGAAATGCTTTTAAATGAATCTTCAAAAATTAAAATTAAAATCATGAGTACTCACAATCGAGTGGGGAGAAAACTTGGCGAATCATCTTTATTTTTCAAGATATCGTTGCACTTATTGACAGTATCAAAGAGAAGAAAGGTGTCACCCACACTAAATAAAGTTGCCAGACATCGCGCAATTAGTCTCCGAGTGGGTGGACCAGGAGATTCTTGAATATGATGCGTAAGTTGATCCACAAGTTTCTTTTGGCAGCCCTTTATGTCAGACTAAAAGAAAAAAAATCTATTAAGACCAAAGGAGACAAGTAATATTTCTCAGAATACCTTTAAAAGGCATTTAGATTTATTTAGTCAAAAAAACAGTAAAAACTGTATGGGATGTATAGGGAGAAGTTCATCTGTGCACGTATTCTTGAGTTCCAGAATCCCTTCCCATCATTTTAACTACAGATTAGTTGAAGAACAAGAAAAAGTTAAAAGAATAATAAATAAATAAAATTTAAAAAGGCATGAGATTTGCAACATTTGATAAACTAGACATTTTTGTTTCCAAGTTATAGAAAACTTATTTGCAACGCTAAATAAACTGCAGGTTTGATTTTTCTGCATTGCTAACAAAATAATAACTCTCCCTTAACTCTACTCCTACCACTGCAAGCAAAGGAGAGCAACAAAATGTACGTATAGTAAAGCTACATTTATTTCAGCATTTTCTATTTCTTTTATTTTTTCAAAAAAATCTTTTGTTTTATACATTTCTACCCAAGAACCTACCAATCACTGACTTAATTATGTAACATAAGTTGTTTTTTTTAAATAACTGAATATTGCAAAACAAAAGAGAAAATCAAATATTCAAGTAACTTTTGAGAACTGTAGTAAGTATCCCAAAACATTAAAAGATATGAAAGAAACCAAATAATCAGCCCAAGTAGTGAGAAAATTTAATTAAATTTGGTTAATTTTACTCAATTCATTTGTAGAAAAACCTATGGTGAAAGCTCTGCACTAAGGAAACCTGTCTTTCTGGGCAGCCATTTCAAAACAGAATAATTCTGTATTAGAAAAAAATATCTCAAAATGCCAAGAATCTGCCTTAAATGATGATTTTTAAATAACTGCATGGGATTATAACCTGGGTAAGAAAGGAAAATATATTTTACCCCAGCAGTAGGTAGGTATAGGAGTTGTCCATAAATTACAAAACACTAGAAGGGGGCATTACGCTGCAATAGAGAGATATTTATTTAGTGTTATGTAACATTCTTTTCTTTTCTTTTTCTTTTTTTATCTTCTTTTTTATTTTGTTTTTTTTTCCAAACATTTGCTGAAGTAAATCCCCTTTTCGGGTCTTTTACTAAAGCATTTAAGTATTTATTAATTAATTTGTTTTAAAACACAAATAAATTAAAGTTATTACATATAAATTGCTACAATACATGGAAATATTTTTTCATTAATTTATTATTGAATCTGTAAGATTAGGAAGAAAATGTTCAACTAACTTCTACTTTAATTAACAGTAATTTTAATGTGCAACACAAGTAAAATAAATACAAATTGTTTTTACTGTGATATACTTTATTTTCACTTCTTTCATTTACAAAGGTGGGGGGTGTCGCAAGCTTATGTAATTATATAAGGGGGTTTCAAGGATGTGTTACAGGAGTGTTAAAAGGCAGAGAGGAAGTATTCAAAATACTCTGGATTCGCTTTATGTCATTTATAAATGGACTCAAAGCACAAAAAGTAATGTCCTCTGTCAATAGACTGAAAGACATCCCTCCCCCCCCCTTCTCCCTGCAGTTGGGAATAATATTTAATACGTCCATTCTGAGAAATCTTAACCAAACATTAGTGTTAAGCTTCAAGTTTAATTTTCAGTTTTCTAGTAAATTTTCAGCAATACTCTCGAAGATTGAAACCTGACATAAAGGACATTTTTTGAATAAACCATTGTGTCTCAGTCATAAATGGGATTTACGGTAATAGTATTTGCCTATTTCCAAAGTCGATGTACACATGTAGTCAATAAGATGATAGATTTAGTTTTCCCAAAAAATCTTGTCAATAAAATTAGTAGAGGAAGAGGTGGGACTATGAGATAGCATGGTTTTCACATCTGTAGAGTGAAGACATTAGCCAAGTGATGAGAACTAGGTAGTCTAACATCGTCACTGCATTCCCTCAACGGCCGGGCACTTCAGTCTTAGAAGCTTCCGAATGTGAACATTGCAGATAGTAGTGCTGTGAAAGGTTTCTGTAGCTCTGCACTGAAGTATAATTTTCTTCAGCGTATCTTGTGATTTTCCAACAAATGTAGGAAGTAAGTTGATATTCAAATATTGCAGTTTTTTAATATCACAGAGTTTGAAATAAAATGCAATGTTTGATATAACTTGTTGGCAAAATCTAAGATGGTGTGGCGATTGTAATATGAGACTTGATTTGTATCATTATTAGACCACCTCATATTACCACTATGCTGTTTTAATGACTATATTTTCTGAAGATTGTATGGGTGAATTGTAGATTCAGTGTATCATGAGCAGAATTTATGCCTACAGTGATTGTACTCGTCTAGAAAGTGCAGTCTACATTTGTGACTATTGTACAACCAAGTGATTTGTAAACATGTATTTCTACTTATTGTACACAGTGTACGTCAATAAAGCCATTTTGTAACATTTTGTATCAACTTCAGTTTATTTGGTCTATAAAACAGTACTGTCTAATATTACTACCCGATTGTCCAATTCACTGGTAGTGACACTATTTAGAAAAAGTAAATATTAAATAAAACCTATTAGTTCCAGAAGGTGTTCCAACTTAGGTTAATACAGCACATTTTATATTAAACATAGTAAAAAACTGCAATTAACTTTTTTAGTTATGGTTATCTGGCATCTTGTAGGTCACAAAACAAAAAGGGTATCTCATATTCCAACCTCTTCCCCTACTAATAAGTGTCCTTACAAAAAATGTTTGATAAATTCCACCAATCTTTTTTCAAACTTTTATATGGCTGCCTGAAATATTTGTATGAAGGTATTTCACAATTCACTATTAAATTAACCATTCACACACATTCTGTACAACTTTGTGATAATGTAAAATTTTGACAGTTGATTTCCTTAATAAAGAGAGAGAGAGAGAGAGTGAGTACCTTTTGTGCAGCTAACAGAACTTTATCCAAAAACCGTAGCCACTCAAAAACAAAAACTGGACGCTTTGCTTCAGGTATTTGATGGAGTGCTTCCTCATTTAGAGTTAAACTGTGGCTCAGCTCCATCATGATAGGAAATTTTACTGAAACAAATTCAAAACATTTATGAGTGATGATTTACTTAATAAAAGTGTAAGGGCCTAAGAATGGAACACACTAACATGTAAATGAACTATAAAGTAACAGTACGGACAACCAAAAAACAACTAAATCTACAGAAGAAAGAAAAGAATTACACCAAAGCAAGAGAAATGTACAATGAACGAAAGAAGGTTCCAAGGAATGTTTCTATTATTTGAGAAATTGGATAGAGGGGCAAGACAAGTTGATTTTAATACAAATGAAAATATACTTGAATTTTCAAAATATTTTCACGTAATCACTGATACGTTATTCATTTCTTCTTGCACAAAGAAATACACACATCTTTTAAAAATATTTCTATCAAAAAACTATAATTAAATAATCAGCAACGACTTCAATCAATTATTCGTAAACATAGACATGACAGCATTAAGAAATGGTGGCAATGTCATTCCAGCAACAGCAGTTATGTACCACAGTTATGTAAACATTTTCAAAGTAAAAAGATATCTTCCTACGACTCGATTTGTTATGTAATAAATTTTCACCAAAGTTAGAATTATTTCCTCAGTAAGTTAAATACACATTTGCTAGAATTTCAAATATCATATATGGTAATAATTCTAAAATGTAATCAAATGAGCCTTTGAAAATAATTATTATATGCAAATATAATTTATTTTGCAGTATATAGCAGTCAAATGCAAGAAGTATAAAAATTAGCCCCATATTTATTCACACAATATACATAAATTTTACTTAATAATTTTAATTATTTTTCAACAAAAGTAGTAAAAACTGTAAGTGATGAATGGGGAAGAACAAAACCTGTGCTCTTGAGCTCCAGAATCCCTTCCCTACTCTAATTACTATACATTGTTGAATGATGAATATATGTACAAGTTTAGCAACACTTGAAAACAAAATATGTTCACTTCCAAGTTACAGGAAACTTGTATCTGTAAATGAACTACAGATTTAATTTTATAGTATCACAAAATAGCAACCCACACCCTTGGCTCTTCTCTTACCATAACTAGCAAAAGGAGAGCTCAACAAAATGTGTGAAGTAAAGATACAGTGAATTAGCCAACTCTTAAGTGAAATATTATTAATAATAGTAAAAGATGCGTAAATACAAAAAATTTAAGACTGAACTCTTGGGGAAATGTTTGCACATATGTCAAACACAATTAACTCCTGCAGCTTTCAATTCCAAATAAATAAAGCATTCTTCAGGAAAATCACTGAACAAATAGTCTTTGCTATCTTGTGTCTTGTGTTGTTCTTTTCTTCTTATGAACTAAGCTCAAAGATTGAAGCCAGAGAACACTGCTAATTTAATTGTCAAAGGGTCATAATACAGCAAGTTGCATGGCATTTCTGTCAGAAATTAAGTTGCAGCCAAAGTATAATGGTTGCCACATCATCCTCTCCTGTAGAGTGAATTCCTTAGGCATCATTCAGGGTATGTGATGACTGATCGTACTCAATTTATTGCATGCAAGAACATACATGAGCAAAGGTACATGAACTAATCACTACCATTACATTTAGCTAAAAAAAAGTTGCTCAGTAATCAAAATTATGGAATGAAGAGATGGACAAGGCATGGTTGGAAGAGTTATTGTATTAACTTCTCATGAAATAGGACTTTTTTAAACCGACCTGTACGTAAGTTGTACTTAAGTTGTGCCGACGATCTGTACTTAAGTTGATCTATTCCCTAATTGAAAGAAATTTGAAGTTACTTTCTAGTCATAAATGTAAAACCTTTTCTTTCCAAGTAATCACTCAAACACCAAAAAAATGTCCCCACACAATTAAGTATTAATTTTTTAAACACATTAAAAGGTAAAGCATAATGCCAACTGAATTGCATACTAAATGGAATGCATACTGAATTAAGTGGTAATTCATGGAGTTATAGCAATTTCCATTGACATTTTCTTGATGTTTAAAAGTACTACAATACTATAGATACAACCTTACATTCCTGTCACAAAAGAAAAACAAAGAACAAAATCACTTAATACATTTATTTAATATCTTTCATCGCTAGATTGACAAAAAAGGAATTCACAAAATGTGCATTTTTGAAAAAACATGGAAAAAAAACAAGAACACGGAAAAAAATTCAGAATATGGCATTACCTTTGAAAGAAGCTCTAGCGATATTGAATGTAAATATTAAATATGAGATAATCCTTCAGAAAATATTACGTTACAGTAAACTTTAAAGAGCCTACTTTACTGAACATCAGTTGTTTTAATAAATTCTTCTTAAGTGCAATTCAACAGAAAGATACATAAACAATACTTTTAGTATTACCTGCCAGAAGTACTTTAAAATTCCATGTAAGCCCAGTCAATTCTTAAAATTCATATTTGATGTCAAATTTCACCTGAAGATAAAATTGAATAACCATTGAAAGCACCTGGAGTAATATCAGTCAAATAGCAGCACATGTAAGTTACACAATCTCATCTTGCATTGACTGAAATCTGTGTTGGAGTTATAGGCAAATTATTATAAATGATGGGAAAATATTCTATCAAGATATTGTGCTCCTTCACAACAAAAAAAAGCATTTAAAATTTAATTATTGTAGATGATTGAATTCTCTTCCTAGTTTATGCCTTTAAAAAATGAAATATATAGTTTGACAACTAGCTGTCACTCGAATTTCTTTTGTATCCCAAGAGGACGATTAAACACTTTGCCAATTACAAATTTTCGACACTCGATTCTGGTAAAAATAAAGACAGTGAATTACGGAATCTTAATTTTATTAAAAAAAAATAAATTGTTTTCACATTATCTAAAAATGTTAATTTTTTTCTACACTCGAATCTGAACTTGTGATCATTAAATTATGATTTCAATTAAATTGTGGGGGATAATCTTTCCATTTTTACCGGGTAAATCACACCGTTGTGAAATATTCACGTGTAACAATAAACTTCCGAAAGAAATAAGTCTTGAATACGGAGAACCCACACTGTCAACATTCAACACTGCATTTGTCGCACGCGGAAATAAAACACAAGCACTACTTTTCAACAAAAATTAAAATACATAAAATTGGGCTGTAGCCAAATCAGAATTAATAATGAAGTCATTTCCTCGTACACATCACTAAGGCCCAAACTCTCTTCTCCTCTTCCTGTCCGCTGTCACGCCTCCGCCATCCACTACTTCCACGATAGTCCGTGTCACTAACAATTGACACCTGATAAAGAATCGTTCTTTGAAAGGAATTGACATTTTGGCGCGAAAATTAAAACTACGATTAACACACAGCATTAATAGCGTTAATTACAAGACCGTAAGACATGCAAATACTGTCTTTTAAGTGATCCTTCAACCTTACTATATAATGCTCTCTATCATCAATAATCACTCTCATCAATAATCTACAACTTTTTAAAGGCTCCACATTGTTCCGTTCTTCTTCCTTTTTATGATTACAATTTCAACACATTACTTCTGTGACTGTTCGTACAATATTAGATTGAGCCGTTCTTCGCAATTCCGACCCTGCATTATTGGTCCCCGTCTTCTCTGAGCAATAAGTTTAAGGTAACTTCAAAAGTTCATCAAAATATGTTTATCATGGTGGTGTGGCTTTGTCGATTTTATCAAATTTTACATTGCCTGCAAATATATTTTTGGTCAAAAGTTTTATTAGTGATTCTCTGGCATTTCAAGAAACCATTAAAAGTCGGGCCGACGAAAGGCATGAGTATGCATTGCCAAACCTATACGATTTTTAGTGTGGATTTTCTTACCTGGGAATTACGTGTTTCCAACTTAATAATTTTATCGATTTACTCATTCATTTGGATATTTCATAGTTTTTATTTAATCCAAATTTAGTAATTATTTATTCACAATTCGATATTATTTTAAAACGCCTTCGCTTTTATGTTTAAAAAAATCGCCTTCGTGCATTTTTAACGTATTTTCCTTGCATACTACTAAATATGCTGCGGAGAAAAGTGACAATTTGCTGACAGAAAAAACTCGATAGTCCCTGGTACTTTTATTTTCGGGGATACTTAGCATCGATATTCTTAAAATTTCCTAAAAAATGACTTCACTTTTTCTCTTTTTTTCTGGAATAAAACAAAGTTTGCATAAAACAATGGTGTAGGTTCGAGTTTCATTAAAACCTCTGACTTTTTGTAAGTTTCAAAGTTAAACGTTGTTTCGACCCCTTTGCAAACATTGTTTAAAAAATTCTAGATTTATAATTCATTTTTCAAAATTTGGGTTCAAACAGAGCAAAGATCCCTCAATACAATTGTGTAGGACTGACTTTCATCAAAACTTTTGAGTTTTTCAAAATTGCAAAACTTTACATGTTTTTCAAACCAGGTCCGGACCTTCAAAACTGAAGCTGGAGACTTATTTTTTAATGTACTCTTTTCCTCAATATTAGATCTTAAAATTATTTCAAGTACATTTTTTCGAAATATTAGGTTTCTAAAAATTTTGAGTTAAATGATGAAAATTTCGTTAGGTTCCGCAACTACTATGACATATGAATTATTGAAGATACACACGGTAGACGAATGTTTATCGTTTGGTTGATTGATTATATAGTTTTCGTAGTACAGTGAAAGTAGAAGTCAACTGCTATGGCCATCAGTCTTAAAGCATTAATCATGGCACCGCCCCAGCCGGGACAAGTTCTAGTAAGCTCCCCTACACGTGAAGTTAACCTTTTATTATTAATAAACAATTTTCTAATAGAGTCGCTTATTGCTTTAAAATAACGTTTTGACATTCATTTTATAACTTCTCTGTATGCTATTGATTATTAGAAGTGAACCAAGGTTATTTTGCTCCATTATGGAGTATTCTGTTTTGGAACGTTTGAAGTGGTTTTACTTCCCTAAACACGGCAACCATAGGTTAGAAGTGGGCGAAGGGCAGATTTATACTGGTGTCCGGGGAAGAAACGTCGAATAATAAATAAGCTCTTAAGACAATGTCAAGGTTATTTTGTCTAATAAACTAGTTGGATATTACGAATGGCTAAGCCGCTATAAGCACTCAAAAGTTGGTTTGATTAAAAAAAAATTCTAGGGAAAAATTTGAATTGCAGAAATAAAGAAATACTCCAGAAACGTGTAAATTGTTTATTATTTACAAAAGAAATTGATATATTTATTTAGAAAGAAAAATTAACCCAGATATAAAAAAGTACCCAATGTATACAAATTTCGACTTCTTTTTTATTTCTGGGTTGATTTTTCATTCTGAACTAATTTCTTTTGTAAATAATAAACAATTAACTTAATTATGAAGTGTTTCTATGCTTCTGCTACGCAAATTTTTGCCTAGAAATCATTTTTTCAATCCAACTTTTGAGTGCTTATTGCGCCTCAACTATTCGGATTATCCCAGTAGTTCATTTGACAAAATATGCTTAAAATTGTCTTAAGAGCTTATTTGCGAAGTTTTGACGTTTCCTCCCCGGACACCTGTATAAAAGCAGTGGAAGATCAACCTTGCAGCCGAATTTAGTAGGAGATACATCTTGAACAGTGCAGCTTGTGCTTTATTGGTTTTATTGACGATATGGTGTTTCCATACACAGCAGCGAGTCTCTCAAGAAACGGTCAGGGGATCTCATTCGAAACGAAAAAAGTATTTCCTTTCAATTCAAATGAGCCGCTGTAAGCTATTTCTGTTGCAAGGGGAGATGGATTCCGTTTACGTACTGCGAGAAGGGTGAGCTTTTGTGTGAAACAGGGGACCCCGGCGAGAAATTTTTCAGGCTTCATGTAAAGTATCCCCCAAATCAAACTATGTGACAAACTCGCAGTGTCTTTTCCAAATCGTTCGAGGATCTACGATTTTGGAGAAAAATCACCCGAACGGTTTTGACGCCAGTGTTAATCACTGACGGATAGACATTTTGCCTTCAATCGATTTTCCTGTATCATGGACCCACAAACCATGGATTTTGACTACTCAGTGTTAGAGCAAGTAATTTACTAACTTTATAGGAACAAACTTTATCCACGTTTTCTTTCCCAGGCCCAACAATAAGAATTTTTCTGTCAAAAATTTGCCGTTTCCGGAGTACGATTACAAAACTTTCTCTTCTCACAAAGGACAAGAAAGTAAAAAGGAATACGGCACCATTCAATATTTTTTTTTTCATTGATGTCCACAGGCATTGTTCGTTGACGAGGAATCCCATTTGATAATGGCATTCGATTCTTTTTGAGGACGGAGCTCTCTGTAAATGATACACCCTTCTCAGTGCTTGTGTGATTACACAAGTGAAAAGAACGAAAAATATAATTCCGTTTCCCCTTATGCCCTTTCAAAATTCAAAAGGGAATCCACAATAGCGTTTCAAAGAGTTAGCGTCGCGAGTAAAAGAAATCCGTAGTCATCCTCCCGGGTGATCGTATGGAATCAAGATAACTAAAATATGATCACTTCCTTACATGTGCTATGAAAGTTTCAGTTAGAATAAACACGTGAATCATTTCAATTATTATTTTTTACAATAATTCCTTTAAATTTGATTTTTTATTGTTTACAAGTCTTTTTGCAACTTTAGCCAGAATAAATGCCTTTTTGCATGAGCATTTTACTAAAAATAAACGTCTTCTACGCCTATTTTAGGTAAAATAAATGCCTGAACTTCCGGGCTCCAGCCATTACTCTCATCAATGTAGTGAATGTTTTATCCCGGAACGTGGTGATTTCTTCCGCCAAGGGATGGTGAGATCCAGGGTCGACCTTCACTCATCTCCCCCTAGCGGGGCACTGCTCCAGTCGAGACACACTCGAAGTTCCCGACGTGCTGTGTAGTGCAAGCATAGAGAAAGTGAGACACGCTCCTTTACTTATGGTGCAAGAAAGTGTGCACGAAAGGGGATAGGACAGGGCGATGAAAACGAAGGAAAGATGGCGCACGGTTCGTGTAAGGACACTTCTCCGGCATTCGACTGCTAGAAACAGATCAGAGCTGCCAGCCGCTGCATTCCACCAAGCTACAGAACATTTTAATTTTTAAATTAATATTCGAAGTCCGCCGCCGTCAGGTAGGAACCCTACAGCCTTTCGGTCGGTCGCTAGTCCTAAGGTGTAGTGCGGACTGAATTTTATCTAAATTCTGTCGGAGGAAATATGTATGCCACGGTCAGTGGGCAATTTGGGTTCACTCGTCTCTTCAATGATATTGACAAGATCAAATGTAAATATAATATTTATTGAAGTAATGGGCATGCTCGTATTGTTTTCAGGCAGGGGCTGGCTGTATATTAGAATATAATAATGATAATCAACATCAGCATTCTAATGCAAACGTGCGGAGAAATACATATCAAGGAGCCCTTCAGACTTCTCCCTTTAATTTATTTTTGTTTTCCTGGAGAGCCATTCAAAGTGGTCAGTTAAGAAAATATGATGCAACGTGACGTTCGGGTCCACAATGCCCGCAATACGGGTGGGCCCGGGTAAATGGGGCCTACTTTGAGGGTGAATTTTTCTGATTTGAAGAAACATTAATTGATATTTTGCAATAGTTATTACAATTTTTTTAAACCTTCTAGAAGAGCGATTTTTCCCGTTTTGGTAGCTTTTGTAACCCTGTTTATAAATTAATAAAGGTAAGCAATTCATTTACGCAGAACTCTCTACTATTGGTTATTAATCACAGACTGATGAATATGAATTTTTTAAGGATATTTTTACTATTTAAGGCACTAACACGACTTGTGTTTTCTATACATCTTTACAAACGGGGCCTGGATCGAAGTTTTCCAGGCTGGCCTACACTCATCTCACTATCACTACTGATATGATGCAAACTAATGAAGGGAAATGATGAGGAACAATTCCTTTCAAGCGGTTTAAATGAAGACTTACCTGTCTCCTGGAATTGAGTATTAATAATTTTGGAGAGTTTTGTCATAGTACAAATTCTTTTTGGAGTCACAACAGTTTGCATTCCACTCATAGATGAAAGGGTCTTAATGATGGCAAAAATCAAGATAAACATTTAAACCAACACTCTCATTCCAATCCAGAAACTCGTTCTCATAAGATTTAAAAGTCATTATTTCAAATGATTTATTATTTATCAGGTTAAAGATACAAAAACTATACGAGCAGTTCTAATACAAATCAATTGTATTTACTGCAACTTTGGTACCATGATCATGAAACAGTAATGTTATAACGGAATGGAGTAGATGGTAGAATGCGGTGGAGAATAAAAGTTCTAAAAACCTGACATGGTTTAAATTCATCCATTGTTTCCATTCAATAAAAACTACCCTTATCTAAATTGAGGATGAAAAAGATTTTCCCCACTTGGACAGACCAAATAATGGCATATAATTTGTCAGCGTACAGTCTCAGTGACCAAATTTTTATCTTCCCTTCTACCAAAGCAGATTCGTTTACTACTGGGTCTATAAACTAATTGGTCATCTGTATTTAATGATGTAACATTAGTAAAATCAACATGGATTCTTTATTGCTTCTTCAAAACATGCTATGAACAAGTTGTTTTAAAATTGGAAAAAAACGTGTAAATCCAACTGGCTGGAAAAGTAAGGAAATGAGGTCCATGGACTATATAACATGTCAAAATGTTGGGATGAAACAACAAATAAAGTACATTCAAGATAATTACTTCAACAAACAAAACATTAAGTACGTTACCTTTTCTTAAATAACTGTGCCATTCTAGAATTTTCTAAGATGTAGGTTAAAAATTGTCAAATAGCACTAGAATTGACAATATATAGCTCACTACCTTTTTGGTGTTCTGGTTGGTCATTCACAATAATGAGTCGTGAAGTTAATTGAGATACACGCCTATGTGGCTTATTGACTTTCAAAACATTTTTACATTCTTATTAAAAAAATATTGTGCAGGCAACATATGCCTTAGACATCAATATGTACCTTAGGGATACATTTAACTGCTTGGCAACAATGAAATGCAATGAATTATCATTGGGGAAATTATTATTCTAGCAAAATCACATGATAACTTTGCATGGCAGTAACAATATAAATGTATTTACACAACATGCTTAGTTGTACATCATAATAATAACATTAACAAGACATTTGTATTGGAGCAGAACAAGAACTAATGACAGCTATCAGTCAATCTTCTTTGTCCCACGTGCTTTCCAAGCGGTCAGCAGATTCCAGGCAAAATATAATGAGAAAGAATGTACCTGTATTGCAAGGATGATGAAAGCATACCACAAAAGAGAGTATGGGTATCCCTAGAACAGACATTGTTACATATATGAGTTTTAATAAAACTTTCTGTGGAATGAAACAAATTCTTACTACACTTACTAAAGCTGTTTACACAAAAGGTAATCTTATGACAACAAGAATTTTATCACAATTTTGAATTAAAATTGTTATTATTAATTTTTTTATAGGTGAAGTGATGCCAGGAGCCTCCACATTAAGATTAGCATATACATTTCATGCGGATTGGTTGTATCAGAAATTCTAACATTACTTTAATAGTTTTGAGTTTTGCACAGCCTTTTCTGGATGATCATTTATCTAATAATAATTATTATTATATCATTACTAATCTACCATATTTTCATCACTATGTGAAACATACAGCAGGCAGATGTTGCAACATTAACAATCTTGGAGAAAAAAAATTGTATGAAGTTATAATTTGGCTGCAAAAAAATCACTTTCAATTTGAGTTTTATTACATATTCTCCATATTTTGTTAATGTTACAAACCAAACTATGTAAAAGAGGAACAATACTATTTGAGATTAACAAAAGCCCACTAAAATAACATGCTACTATAAAGAATATATCTTGAAATGAGAATTGTAGAAACTACACAAAGAAAGAGAAAATCTCTCTTCCAAGAAAATTAACTTTTTTTTTTGTTTATTTCAAGTAGTTTAAATATGTCTGGAGAATCCTACTTTTAGTGAAAGGATCTTCATGCATGTTTCTACAACATTGAAACCACAGTAAGCCAAGAAATAATGTGAGATAAAGCATTGTTGAATGTTGTTAACAGTACATAAAGAATCATACCAAGCAGTCAGCACTCAAAAAGCAGACAAAATAAGCATTTCAATTACAGTGTTATAATCAACTAAAAGTTTTCTAAGTTCCCGTCATTTACTTCTTAATATAATTATAAATGAAAAACTTGATTGCTTTTTATACTTTTAGCCTGCATATAGATTTCTGAATATCTACAAACAAAAAAACAAATTGTATTGAAAATTAAATGTAAATAGGGAGCAAACCCAAGTAAACTATTTTAAGTTCAAACTTCCATTGTAGGCATTTGATATGAGAAGGAACATTAATTGATGGAAGTTGCAGACTATGATTAAGGATGATAGTCCTATCAACAACCAGATTTTCTCCATTAGGGATATGAAGATTAACACTCTTTTAATTAACAATATTGTCATAATGTCATTTACATATTTTGTATTCAATATATCAAGCTGAAACAGATCAGCTATTGTCTTCTACCAAATAATAACTATTTTTATGTAAAAGTGGAATGTAAAGATTTACATTTAACGTTTTAAGATTTAGGGTTTACATAAAGATTTTTGTTCCTTTGAGCAGAAAGCAAATAAAAGGTCTCCATATACAAATATTTTAAGCAGAACACTACTTTTTTAACCAATATATTGATTTATATTTACAATGTTACACAAATAACTAAAAATTACACAAAAAGCCTGTGAAATATTGTGTAAACTATTTTCCACAAATTGCAAAGAGATGATTTCAGATCAAGATAATACAGAATTAAAGATCTAATATCAACACCAAAAGAATCACAATATTTCACTAAATAAGGATCAATAAACATAGATAATAATCTTTTTTGGATCACAAACACTTCCAACCTACCAAAAACCCTGGGGCTTTGTTTAATACTGAAATATGAGGCACAATTCAAGCACCAACACAACTCAAATAGTGCTTTTACAAGTATTTATTTCAACTTTTTGAATGCAAAATTTGAGTTACACCTTAGTGAATTTTAACATTATTAGAAAACTTTTCTAATACCTATACAAATTCTTAAACAACTGCAAGTGGAAAAACAATTCAAGCACTTTTACAGAGAAAATATTCTAGTTTCCATCACTGCAAATAGGAATAATTAAATTTCCATCATTACATTTATAATTAAAATCAATTTTAAATGATCAAGGGAGTTTAGTGACAAATTTTGTGCAGAGGCACTTTGTGCCCAATTAGTAATTTTATGCAGTTTTAAAAATAAAGAACTCTGTCAGAAAGGTGATGTTATTTCACCAGAATGAACATAATTTTAAAAACTATAAAAGTGTCAGTAGAGACGCATACCAATATGTTACTTTTTTTCAACATGCAATGCACGCAAAATTTTCAACACTCTTATGCCTGAGATTACAATAAAAATATTACAATTACTGACATTTTTCAAATCAAACCCAGATAATCAAATATGCAGTTCTTTATAAATTTAATAACCAGAAGGCTTGTTAGTAAAGTATAGGAGCTATTACATTACACTGATGAAAGCCAATGATAATAGCACATTCACATAAACAATTATTGTAAATCATTTTTCTCTCGGCATATTTAAACAAGCAGATTTTGAGAATAGGAAAATATCCAGGAAATTACCCACTACAGAAATGAAACAGGGCTGAAATCAACTGCTCCAGCATGTTTTGTTCAAGTGTCAATTTCATAATTATTTCAATCAACTTAGAGCAATAATGACAATAAGGAGTATAAATGTTAACTGCAATATTGCCTTAAAGGAACTAAACCATCACATAAAATCATACCAAAGAAATTTTACAGAATTCATCATTTAAACATTCAGTAAAAATGATGATAAATTTGGAATATTAACATGCAAAAATGTGTTAGGAAAATTCAGTATTACCAACAAATAACTATATTTATACCAAACCTCATACCTTTATGTCAGAAACATCAATATTAATTACACATTTTCTATGCTTTAAGCCAATTGTTTTTAAAACTCATGAAGAAACTTCAGAACTATCTAAAACAATTTAGCCCTATTGTTAACAAAAATAAAGAAAATCCTTCCAATACAACAACATATGTTTAGGCCTTAACAAATTGACACAGGGTTTTCTTCAGAACTTCTTCCCTTTCATCACCACTAATATGACATACTTTGCAATGTTCACTTGTTTCATTTAAACAAAGAGGTCAAAAATTAATAATTTCACAAACTTTTTAATTTAGAAATTAAGTTTTATATTTGCATATGTGCATCATAATATTTACTTGGAAGACAAATTATGATGCTTCTTGTAAGCTTAAGAGTGAAAGCAAAATCATTGATCATCCTTTAAGTTGGTTAAATTAAGGATTAGAAAAGGTACAAAATGAAATTCAATATATCCTCTTACTACAAAAATTTATATAAATGAAGTTAATAATTTGAGAAAGTAAAGGAGTCTTACTATTCACATCACAATAAACAAAACCGATTGAATATACTAAACACACCAACCCTAACCCTACACTACTAATAAAAGACAAATCTTCAATTTCTCGTTAACATAGGGAATGAAAACTTTGGCATTAAAGCAAATGCAAAATATCATTCCATGAGGGAGGAAGCATGCAATATAAAATTTTAGATCTATACTTGGCAGTGTCAGTATCATTAACACTGCAAAAAGCAAAATGAATTTGGAATTTTTTCTAAAGCACTTACATGACATATACAGCATCAAAAGATTGATTGAAATGAGTGAAAGCATAAAAATTACGTTATTTCCACAGTAAATTGTTGTGGTAGGTTGTGTGTAGGTTCTTTCTCAATGATCTCTGTAAAACATCTCACCTGTCTCAGGACAATAAACAAAAGGAAAAAAAACTATTGAGAAATCATAACAAAACTTGAATCAATCTGATTGAGCTTACCAATAAAAATATATTGTGAAGGTAGCTGCTAGAAAATGCAATATAATTTGGAAGTAAATGCTAACAAGGGAAATGAAAATAAAACATATATACTGGAATTTCATTCCCAAACAACTTCACCTGCAACATCAGCACCAAATGGGAAGACTTGACGAAGGAATTGTAAACAAACTGAAGAGACAATTGATATTATGTTGGCATTCATTTTTCAACCAACAATTTTTATAAAGCATTTTAGAGTACTAAGAATAAAACCAGGAAATATTAGCAATAACTCTAAAACAGCACACAACAAATAAAGATATATTTTACAACAATGAAAATACTCACAACCACAAACGTCAAACTGTCATTAAATATATCTTGTAGAAGTGTGTACTCTTACCTGCCAAATCATGATCTCATCAGTTTCACCAGTTGATAAATATTCCCAGGCTTCACCAAAATAATAAATGGCAGCATACAGAATAGGCCCAAATCCAAAAACACCAATTCCAACCATATATTGCTTCATTGTTTTGATTTGGTTCTTTCTAACAGCAGTAAGTCCAATAAAAGATAAAAGTAAACTGAAGCACCATATGTATTCCCACCACAGAGGCTAAAAGTCAATCACAATAGTATAATTACATTTCAGTAAAGAATTTTCTTCAATAAGTAAATGTATTGATGATCTTTACCTCAGGCACCTGTAATTCTTCTATTTCTAAAATAAAAATATCTAAGCGATCCAAAATATCTGCTGATAGTTTAGACAGCATTGCAAAAAATAACAAATAATGGAAGAAGATACAATATTTTAAGCGAGATTTGTTCTGGGCACTGAAAATAATAAATATATTACCACATTGTACAAATACAATCATAAAAAGCATGCATGGTAAAATTAACCTAAAATATTAAAAATGTGACATTTAATTGTCAAATACCTGATTTGATATTGAGCAGCTACTTTTTGTCGATGTAAAAAGTCTGATCCATCTGTTCCCGGAATAGTTACACCACTTTTCGATGCCATTCTGCTTCAACAATAACGTGGCTCCGACAATTCAAGAATCAACCCTGGCCTGCACTCCCAGATCAGCACAGTCCACAACTTGCACTTTCATTCCATTTCCATTCGTCTGGAAATCCGGAGGAATAATTAGCAATCCTCTGCAAAAGGACCTGGACGGATCCCCGGGCTTTTGTCGGATTGGCCAGCCCTCAACTCACCTAAACACATTCAGCTTACGCTTATTTAAAACACGGTGAACCGCGTGCGACCGCGCGTCTCAGTCACAACGCTCTCTTTTCAACTATCTCTGTCCTTGTTTTCCTTCTATTTTCTTTCTCCAACTCACTGTCCTCGTGTCCTAATCTCCTGTCTCTTCTGCGCCAATCAACATTAAGCTGGCGTAATTCAATATTCAGGCGCCACCTCTGAACCGCTGCTTGATGCCGACACCGACTTAACATAATTTATTCAAACTACTTCACTAAAATTATTTCTTTCTGTGTAATGTAATGAACAATGAGGTGTAATTAATGTCCATTGACCGAAATATATGATATAAACACGACAAAAGTGAATGAGCATACGTGGGCGCAACTTAATAGCGGGGGGGGGGGGATTACATTTCCGAGCCCTTTTTCCATTAAACCTTTTTGTTTTACATGTGATATATTTTATAAGTAAATAAATAAATAAAATGTAGTATAAGGAGAATGAAATTGTAACTTTACTGATACAATTAATAAATGCAATTGATGTTTTGTTGAACCATTTACCATTTACAAGGCTTCGATAACCTGTAAAACGTATGATAATTCTCCAAATTATCAGGTTAGAAAAGGAAGAAAATCAGGAAATGAATGTATTACTGGAAAAAAAATGTTATATCACGTAATGCTAAGGGGGCCCCTTTCAAAATTTTCAGTGGACCAAGGTCCCCCTGTCCCACCTCTGTGCACGCCTATGTGTATGTTGTCTGGCATTCGGAGGATAAAAACAATTTATCTCTTTTTAAAAATTAGAAGCATACAAGCATCATCTTGGAACTATAAAAAAACATTAATCAGCATATTTTTAGACTTCTCGAAAGCATTTTGTATCATATATCATAAAAATCATACTTTCAAAGCTAACTTCTTACGTAATCCGTGGCTAAAACAACTATTGTATATTTCTTGGGGATAAAACACAAGAAGAAGAAGAAGAAGAAGAAGAAGAAGAAGAAGAAATTATTTACTTATCTCTCGGCATCCATGTCAAAAGAATCCCGCAAGTTTTGATTTTGGCATCAGAACTGTTCCTTCTTTACTTGAATAATGCACCCTCATCGGTCAAAAAGAAAATGATAGTGCTTTTTGCACTTGATACTAATGTTCTCATGAAAGAGGGAAGGAACGAGAAAAAAAAGAAAAAAAAAGAGCTATACGTACTACCTAATTTTTTTCGTTCACACTTCATTACCGTAGGTTATTATGTCACATCTATGAAGAGTGAAAGAAAAATGGTAGACTGATAGGTTTAAATTAATAGAGAGGTAATTGAAGAATCCTTTTTTTAAAATTTAAATTGAAGTGAAATATATCTCCACGTTCAAAAACGCATTCTCTTCCATGAGTAAAGCACCAACGCCCCTTCTAAAATTGTGCTTAAATACCGTGACTCCTAATAATGAAACTACAGTAAAACCTGCAGTAACGGCCACATTAAGCAAACACCTCAACTAACAGCCAATTGTTCGTCGAACAGATTGCTTTTTCAATAAGACAAGTGAAAATGTATTTCCCTCCTTTCAGCGGCCACGCGACTAAGCAGCCAACGCCCAAGCACATTTCGCAGATTGACCTTTATTAAGCGGCCACCTCAAGTGATTTTGAACTGTATTATAATAGACGGAAAGTGGTAGAAATGGCTGTTGATACAATATCTTCCTGTGTCGCAACGCATTGTCAGGTTTCTTTGAAACTGCCAGAGTCGCCGAGTCGCTTATGTCGTAGTGGGATTAAGTTTCAAGTAACAACAGATGGTTTGAATAAATATCTCTTAATGGAACAACAACGCGGTCGCTTCACCCATTTTAGGCGTACTTTGATAACTCGTCCTTCCTTTCTGGGGGCGGAGACTGTTACGGGAACCCGGAATTCCATATTCTGGCCTTGTTAAATGTTTGATTCTAATTCTTAGAAGCTATTAAACTTAGGGTTATGAATTTCTTACAGGTAACAGATATATGACTCATATTAACACTGACGCGTTTTGAAAAATGTGTACTATTTTGTGGATAAAAATATTTTCATATATTGCAATTTTTTTTACCGCGTTTTCTGACAATCAATTCCGTGTCCCCGACTAGCGGAGCGTGCCACGTGCGGGTCCCCGATTTGGAGTTTTATCGCTAACTCCTTCGCCGGTTGGCCCTGCTGTACAGTTTCTGCAGGATGTGAATTGCATCTTGAAGTCTAGTTTGCTTGTTCGATTCGGTGAAGTCGGCAAGTGAGTTTCTCAACAAAGAGAATAAAGGGCATGTCATGACTCGTGAGTGGTTTGATACCGTATTCGCTGAGATGAATCAAATGATCCTAAATATTTTGTTTAAATTGTTTTTGTATCTTCAGGAAGCACTTCATTTCACAGCAAAGCACAATGTGATTTCTTTACGCTTCACATAACCTCATAACCTTAATTAGATAGCTACCTCTATTGTCGGCCAATTTTCGCTGGATTCATTGGTAACAGTTAAAGACGGGTTTCACAGTAAAACAGACTTAAGTGTGTTAGACAACTCGAAATGAAAGATTCGTAGTGCGTCTTGTTCAAAGCCCTGATGACGTTAAAAGTAATAGTTTTTAAGTGAATCGTGAAATCTAAGGACAGACCTACACGATCGTACATTTAATTATTGTATAAAATAATGATATGACCCAAACTTCGCCTGCGATGTAGTCATCTACTAAAGCATTTATGCCATCACGGCTGTCTCTCTTGTGAGATATTTTGGGAAGCAACATATTGAGCTGGTCACTTAACCCATATTTCCCTTCCCCGCTAAAATCGAATTTCCAGACAAACTTTCATTGCCTAAACTCAATGCAAGTCGAAAACTCAATTAATAGTGAGAAATAATTTACTGTACAGTTGACTACAGTTGAACGTTGAAGACGACTGGTACAGCTCAAAGCGAGCAATGCAGCTGTCTCTCGAAGACTCTGACCGGGAGGTCCTCGGGTGCGAGTCCTGACGGTCGGGGCAACTAGGTCGAACGCATTCGCTGGTTGCTCTGATCGGTTCTTTTCCGTTGTTTCTCTATAAGTGTCAGGCGAATGCCAAACTAGTGCCTTTAGAAATGGGCCACAGTCCACACGCGATCTTTCCTATCTCATCCTGTCTTCTCTCCCCTTGCATTCTGACTAGCACTCCTGTCGGAAGATCGGTGGGGAACTTGGAGCTAGCTTGTCGTGGCCGCGGCGGTGTCCCGCTGGAAAATTACCTGGAGGGGTAAACCTCTTTAGTCAAAGTGTAAGTCCGCGTCCTATTTCTCCTTTCTCGCCCACACTTAAATGCACTACACTACCACACGCGTCGCGAGATGGCCGAGAGCTTGAAGAACGCTAGGCGTGAGGCGGTGACGGGCTGGAGGGCGACCCCCCGTACGCAGGCATGTGGGTCGGCGCCGGATTTCAATATTGGGACGAATACCGCCACCTTCGGAAAATGTACAGTCACTACACTAACGGGATTAATTGTCATGGAACATCAAACAAACAGTGAAAAAGAAGAGAAGAATATTTTATTTATTTATTTACGTCAGAAACAGTTAAAAATGTATGATGTGCTATAGAGAGAAGTTAAATTAAGGTTACATTTAAAACTATTGCAAAATTTTTTTCATTACCATTTCCGTTTCTTCTATCCCCTCATTCTTAATGTAAAATTTCCATAAAAATCGTCATATATTCTTTTTTCACATTATCCCCAATATATTCTTCGAATTACCAGTGTTCACCAATCAAAAAACTACTATTAAAAACATTGTTTTACTCGGAAACGCGGACTACTAGGGTCTAATACTTCACACTGTTAAAATATTGAATGACCAGTTGAATGAATAGTATGGAATACACAAATACATTATATATTTTATATTTCAACATTCAAATACTCATTTATTTCATATTCATATCTTCATAAGGTACAATTATACAAATTTTTTGCAAACATTATTTTAAAAATACTGTGATAATTCATGAACAGCATCATAAAAACCGTTTAATTATTCTAATTTTGTGAGTGTTTTCTACATGATACATTCGCAGGAAATCCAAATATCTCCTTCAACATGTCAAAAATTCAAAATCTATATTTCCAAATATTCTCATGAAGAATAATGAAGCTTAGTTCAACGAGAAGTCACAATATTGGCTTGTTTGTTTTCAAAATAAATAAAGGCTCCTTAACTTTTTATTTATAAAAATTAATATATAAATGTCAAAATAGCATATTTCATTTCTTCAAGTGGATAAGCACACTTGTGTCTTAAAATGTTCCTTTCATCTTTAGGAGGGAAGGTGAACAGCATTTGGTTTGGAAATATCGTACGCACGTGAATATTAGAAGTTAATTGGAATGTCTAGCATTGGCATGTATATTTCCATTATACATGTGGTTGCTTTGAGGTAAGCAACAACTAGGAATATTACTGGGAGTCGAGAGTTGTTCTCTGACGAAAAGGTTCGGGAAGAGGCGAAGGAAGAGGGAAGGATAGAGAAGAAGGGAGCGACATGGGAGAGAGAGGGTGAGAGGGGAAGAGGGGAGAGGGAGAGGGAGAGTTTTTACGAAACCCAATTACAGAATATCGAAACAATTACTATAGTGCCCATTCATTCCCTCCATTTATTAATTATTCATAGGAATTACCAGGGTTTTCATCGAATCAGTCGGTAGAAGACAAGAAGGAACGCAACAAACGACAGTCGGCCGCGAGAGAAGTCTGTTTCGTAGTTGAAACGTGCGTGGTTGCTTTCTACGTGCGTACTGTTTATGGCACGAAAAAGTGAAGTAGTGATGTTATGTAATATTATTATACCGCAATTTCTGTGCGTATTAACATCTCAGTCAGTGAGCAATGGCAACAATGAGGGTATGCGGCAACAGGCAATGGCAATAATAGACAAAAATTTTCCTATCAATTCTTTACAAAAACTCCATTCTTTACCTATTTAGGACTTTTTTTCAGTTTTCATTGTTGTGTTTTTTTATGAAAGAACCAGTAAGGCGTTCTTTCTTGAAACCCACTGCTTCTATTTCGAATACTTCAATTCATTTTTCGCCGTTTCCAAGTGTATCCTAAGTTTATTCTTAAAAGTTTTCATTTTCTTTTAAATGGAGACTTACAAACACCGTCACAGAAACGGC